CCATTTTGGGGGTGAACCAATGGAAGGAAGACCTTTCTCTTTGTCTCTCTCTCTCACTGTCTAACTCTATCTGTCAAATAAAAAAAAATCAACATACAAAAATTAGTAGCATTTTTATAAATTAACAATGAATCCTGAAAAAATTCAAATAACAATCATATTTACAAAAACAGCTACAAAATTTAAAAATACATAGGGATAAATTTAACAAAGGAAATAAAAGTCATGTTACTGAAAACTGTAAAATAGTGATGAAAGAAACATGAAGAAGATGATGAATAAATAGGAAAGCACTCCATGTCCATGGATTGGAAGTATTAATATTGTTAAAATGTCCCTATGCTCCAAGTGATAACTAGATTCAGTGCAATCCCTAACAAAGTTCCAATGATATTTTTCACAGAACTAGAAAAAGCAATAATAACATTTTATGGAATCACAAAAGACTGAACAGCCAAAGAAATCTTGAGTAAGAACAAAATTGAAGGTATCATGCTAAATGATTTCAATACATATATCAAAGCTATTGTAACCAAAACAGTACGACACTGGCATAAAAGGATTCAGGCCAATGAAATAGAATAGACGGCTTAAAAATAAATCCACACATTTATGGTCAGTTAATTTTTGACAAAGAGGTCAAGAACACACAATGAGGAAGGGACAATATATGGTGTTGGGAAAACTGGATGACCACATGCAAAAGAATGAAATTACACCTTTATCTCACACCATACAAAAACAGTATTAAAAACTTAATGGATTAAAAATAAATGTAAGACCTTAAACGGTAAAACTACTAGAACACAATGTAGAGAGAAAGCTTCCTGACATTGGTCTGAGTGATGACTTCTTGGATTTGATGCTTAAAGCACAGGCAACAAAAGAAAAATAGAGGGGGCTGGCATTGGGGCTCAGGGGGTTAAGCCACCTGCAACTCTGGCATCCCATACGGGCACCAGTTCAAGTCCTAACTTCTCCTCTTCTGATCCAGTTCTCTGCTAATGTGCTTGGGAAAGCAGGGGAAGATGATGCAAGTCCTTGGGCACCTGTACCCACCTGGGAGATATGGATGGAGTTCCATGCTCCTGGCTTCAGCCTGGCAAGCCCTGGCTGTTGTGGTCATTTAGGGAGTGAACCAGTGGTGGAAGATCTTTCTCTCTCTCCCTCTCCTCTCTCTCTTTCTCCTGCTTTCTGTAACTCTACCTTCAAAATAAATAAATAACTTTTTAAAAGAGAGAGAAATAGAGAAGTGGAATTACATCAAATCAGAAGCTTCTGCATAGAGAAACAACAGACTGGGAAAATGTTTGGATGTTTGGAAACTATACATCCGATAAGGGGCTAATATTCAAAAATATGTAAGGAACTCAATCATAAGAAAACAAATGATTATAAAATAGACAGCTGTTTCCAAAAGAAGACCTAAAAATGGTCCACAGTTATATGAAAAAATGTTCAACATCACTAATCATCAGGGAAATTTAAATTAAAATCACAATTAGAAATATCACTACCACCTGTTAGAATGGATATTATCAAAAAGATATAATGGGCTAAAGAGGCTGCATGGAAAAAGTAACCTTTGTACAGTTGGTGGGAATGCAAATTAATAGAACCATTATAAGAAAATAGTATGGAGACTCCTGAAAAAGTTAAAAATAGAACTACAGTATGATCCAGCAATCCCACATCTGGGTATATATCCCAAAGGCATGAAATTAGCATGTTGAAGTGATATGCATGTTCACGTACACTGTGACACTCTTCACAATAGCCAAGATACATAATCAACGTATATGCCCATCAGGGGATGATTGGATAAAGAAAACATGGCACCATCATGAGCCAAATGAGAATACCAGCAGCAGATGGCTAACGTAATGGTGGTCTGATAAGACTACAATACAGCTGAAAAATTTCCATCTTGCAGTGACACCACAGCCATTGTTGAAGAACAGCACAGCATATGACTCATGTTTGTGGTCATGCTGTTGTAAACAAATCTGTGCTGCCAGTGATTCAAAAGTACATACAATTACATATAGTGTGTAATAGTCGGTAGTGGTAATACATGCCTATGTTATTGGTTTATATATATTTATTATACTAAACTTTTTATTATTTTGAGTGAACATCTACTTATAAAAAAGAGGTTTACTGTAAAACAGTATGTCATGTTACCTTTGTAGCAACTTCATACATCTTGTGCTTACTCCACCTTTTGATTTCATCATTTCTCTTGCGCTTGATTTGATTTATTGTTCCACAGCCCTAAGAGCAGTAAGCTATACCATATCTGTGTAAGTGCGTGTGTGTGTGTGTGTCTGTGTCATATACTCTAGGTGTGTAGTAGGCTATACCATCTAGGTTTGTGTAAGTACTCTCTCTGATGTTCACATAATCATGAAATTGCCTCAGAAAACATTTCTCAGAATCTATCCTCATGGTTAAGCAACATATGACTGTACATATATAAACTGTCATACTATAAGTCTTAAAAAAGAAAGTAATTCTGTCATTTGTGACAACATGAGTGAACTTAGGAAGATATTGTTAGGCACAGAAAGACAAAGTAGGCTCTCACACGTAGAATTTGAAGCTTGCACAAAAGAGCTCCATGTTAGAAAAATTAGGAACTTGAGCATCAAAATTAATAGTAATGAGTAATAATGTACTGAAAGAAAGACATGAGTCTATATTGATACTCATCAATATAAAGAAGGAAGTAGGGAATGGGCATTGTGGTGCAGTGGGTTAAGCTTGTGGGTTAAGTGGGTTAAGCTTGTGGGTTAAGTGGCTTGAGCACTCTAAATTGGTGTGCCAGTGCCAGTTCCAGTTCCAACTACTCCACTTCCAATCCAGTTCCCTGCTAATGAGCCTGGGAAGCTGCAGATAATGGCTTGAGTACTTGAGTTCCTGCCACATATGTGGGAAACCCAGGTGGAGTTCCTGGCTCTTGGCTTCTGCCTGGCCCAGCCCTGGTTGTTGCAACCATTTGGGGAGTGAACCTGCAATGGAAGTTCTCTTTTTTCCTCTCTTTCTTGCAGTCTGTCATTCAAATAAATATTTAAAAAACAAAGAGCAGGAAAATTTATTTTTACTATGATACAACTAATACATATTATAAGTATAGTCTTTAACATAAGAATCATAAATAGGTGTTAGAATGAAAGCTTCTTAGAAGATATTTCACAAAGAATCTTTCTACAGATAAAATCAATTTAGAATTAAATTTGGAGTCTAGCATGAGGTGAGACCCTTAGCTTTTTTTTTTTTTTTTTTTGTAAAGAGGGTAGCCAGTTTTTCACCTCCTTTAGTTTTCTGTAGAAACTAAGCTGTAGGCTAACAGAGTGGATGGTTTCTTAAGGACATGAACCATGTCATGCTCACAATTTTATCCCTAACATCATACCCACCTAAGGCATACTTTGCTGGTCAAATTAGTGACTCAATAACTGTTTGTTGAATATGTGTTTCCTTTTACCATATTGAGTTCTCTATACACTGGAGTCTTCTCAGCGGAGTATTCTATTCTGTTCACATGATCGCTGGGTCTATTTTATACTTTATGGTAGGTTTATGAAATGTTAACATCTGGTGGGCTATTTATAAGAGCTGCTGCTTTTTCTTTTCCTTCTCCCTCTCCTTCTCCTTTGAAAACAGAGGCTTGAACATGGGCATGGAGTGTGGAGGAGTGTCACTGGAAAAGCAGAGGTTGAAGCTATAGTGCAAGCTACCAGGCAGGTGGGAGGAGGACTGGGGGTCAGGAGGATTGAACCAGGGAAGAAGCAGCCCCTTTCTGCAAGAGATGAGGAAGGGAGGCCAGCCAGGGCAGAGGTAGATGCAGGTGAACATTGTGTGTGTGGTTGGGTCGTATGAGGTCACCCAAACAACCAAGGCTTCCTCACTTGGGTAGGAGATGAGACTCCGCTGAGAACCATAGTCAGGGTAATGGGGGTGGAGCGTGTTGGAACAGCAATAATAAGGAATGGGTGAGAAAGCTGACTGCAGACTCCTACAGTGCTTGCTCCACTGCCCACTTGGAGGTGGTGCCCTGGATTTGTACCACTATCAACAGGCTGGCTTTGGTGGTGCTGGCAGCTGAAAAGAGAAAACTCAAGGAAAACTGTGTAGGGCTTTGCTTACACTACTGATGAAGAGGATCTGCAGAACTGAACTGAAATAGCACCTCCTTCTAGATTTCTCTGCTTTGCACCCTCTCCTGCCAAGCCCCACGGTTGCTGTCAGCAGGTTGTGGCACGTTTTGTGCAGTTAAGTGAGCAGCGCTGTTAGGAAGACAAAAACGACAGATCCTGCTGGCTAGGCTGAGCAAGACGGGGCTTGGTAACCCTGTCTGCTTTATTATTTACATAGCAAAACCTGAAAAGGACGATGAATTATGGCGCTCATATCACTTACTCTGGGTCAGGCACTGTGCTCATTTCTTTACATGCACTGTTCCACTTCATCTAGAAATGGGTACTATTGCTAACCCCACTTTACACACCACACGTCAGAGGCCTAAAGAAACTAGCGGTTTGTTTGGGGCCATACGGCTAGGTTTTGGCGCAATCAAGCAAGTCGGCTAACAGCCCTCGCTCTGGACCACTGAAGTCAATGTCAGTCCACACGAACAAGGAGCGCAGTAACAATTGAGTGCCCACAGTATCAAACAATACGGTAACCGCGGTCCAGCCAGCACCCATCCGGTGCCCAAGGCCCCAGACGCCCATCCGCTGACCCCGCACGCGTGATGCTCACGCGCACTATCGTCCTGATTTTTTTTTTCCCTCCGGGAAGGCTGAGGCGGCCCGGAGCTCCACCAAGCGGGCAAGGACGACTCTATCTGGGCTCGACTCCTTCGGCCTGAGCATCTGATCCGAACGTTGTGCAGGCGGGGAGGAGAGGGCGGAGCCGGCTCCCGGGGAAAGATTGCGGATTGGAGGGGAGGAGGGTCGGAGGGCGGAACCTTGGGGGGAAGCGAGACACCGCAGCAACCCTGTAAGCAGCTTCGCTTCCTGCCGCAACCGCCGGCGGCCGGAGTAACCCAGCCGTGCGCTGTGGGGCGGGCTTCCTGCACCTGAGCCCGGTGAAGCGGTGGCTGGGGTGGAGGGAGGCCGGCGGGTCCGGGGCGGGAAGCGCAGGTAATGGAGGGGGCCCTGGATTACGACAGGCTAGGGCCGATAGTGGGATAAAGGCCGGTTTGGGGTTCTTTGGGGCCAGAGCAGGCGGGGGGTAAAGCTGAAGCGAAGGCGAGAGCTGGCGCTCCACAACCTGGCGCTGGAGGCCGGGTGGCGACCGAGGCTGGACTCGGAAGGGCCGAGAACCCGTTTCTAGAACTAGCTGGTTCTCCTGACTGGCTGTCCCTTGTCTAGGGAGTGGGCAAGGGAGCGGGCGGGGCTCTCGTGAGGAGATTCCCTCGGAAACATGTAAAGTTCCCTTGCTTCTCCGTTGTCCCTCCTGCCTGAACTTACTTGGGAGCTGGATCGTCCAATTCCTCTTCTCTCTGGGCGGATTGACTCTGGTGTGTGTCAGTGGAGAAGAAAGTTCGTGACCAACCCTGGGGTTTCAAATATGCATCTGTTTCCTTAAAAGCCTGTCTCTGGCACTTCAGGAGATTCCGTTTCACTTTGTATTTCGGTCTCTTTTGAGGAAGAGCCTCGTTTTCCCAGTTAGTGTTGTGCCTTTACCTCGGATGTTCCCGAGAGAACTGCAGTGGGTGCTTTTGGGAATTTGGGGTCTTCTGTCCAGTCGAGAGGTTGTCATTAAGAAATAGGAGAGATGCTAGCATTCCGTGAAGAGAAATTGTTCCTGGGTAGCTGATACGCGTCTGTGCTGAATTAGCAAGTGTTGATTGAGTGCATTCCATGCTGTAAAATTACTTCGATTTTTGAGCGGAGAGATAGCTGCATGGTGTATCGCACTGTCTCGGTTCTGATTACTTAATGGAATCTCATTTTCTGGCACTCGGAGGCTCCCACTGTAGGTGTTCTAACAAAAAATAAATCTTAGTTTCTTTCCCTGGAGTTGATGACAAAGATTGCACAGGGTAAGTGTCCTCTGAGAAGTAGGACTAATTTCCTGTGTCTTCCCCTTTTCTTTCTGGGAAAGAATATATGGATCTCGTGCTTTTACTTCAGTGTTTCTTTTGGCGCATTGGTCAAAATGGAACAAATATATCTTTGTCGATGGTAACTGACATTTCTGGTGTTCAGCCATCCTGCATTATACCTAGAAATGACTGAATGATGCTTGGATTTACCATTTAAAATTTTGATATTGGCTGACAGGTTGGCTTTTTTTTTTTTTTTTTTTACTTTTTTATACCAGATTAGCCTTCTGTGTGGCTTTATCAGCAAGGTGGTGTGTTGTAGGTCTGTGTATATTGGTAGCCTTGAAATGAAGAGAGGTGAAGTATGGGTGATATGTCCGAGGTCTTTGGAAAAGTGAGTTATTACTTCTAATATCCCGTGAGTTAGGAAAGAATCCTAGGTTAGGTTAGGTTAGGTTAGGTTTATACCAAACAGCCATTAAGCTGCCAAAGAACAAGGAGTTGGAAGATAGTTTTTCCAGGACTCTGGTGATAATTATTAAGATTAACTCTTCTATGTGATTGTATTTCTATTTCAGAGATTACACTTAGAGATTATTTGCTTGGTGATTTTTATCTTTGTATATTCAAAGCCAGGTAAAAGTTTTGTGTATAGCTGCCCTTTAGAAGTAATTCTAAGGCTCTAGGCAGATTGCTAACTCAGCTTTTGATGTTGCTTGTGTCAAAGTAGAAGGTAGGTTGTTTTCTGAGGCCTGAGGGTTGTTACTGCTGTCACATTATCTTTTCTTTTTTTTCAGGGCTTTCTCACTCTTTCTCTTTCGAGCTTTTTCTTGGTCAGTCACCAGTTTACTTCCCAGCCCTATGTATTGGAATGTATCCAGTCGTGACTTTAGAAGGATTGTTGACTACTCTCTGAAACAGAAGATGATATTAGAGACCTCTCTTCCCCTGCTGCTTCCCCCACTCCATTTCTTCCCCCTTCCTCTTTTCCTTTTCCCTTCCGCCTCCCTCCCTTCCAGTAGACATTTATTGCCAAAATTTTAAGTCAGTGATTTTATTTTTGCTTTAATTGATTAATTAGAGTATCAATTAGGTGAAGTCATGAGTAGTCAAAGAATTCTGATGGGCTGGACCTAGAAATCTGTACAGAGCTACAAAAGCAATTTTGCTATAAAAAAGAATTTTGGGATGAGACTTGGAGGTCTAGTTTTAACTTTTCTGGTGACTATCTCTGTGACTTCCCAAGGAAGGTATTTTAGGTTCAGTGTATCTTGGTTACCTCAAAGGGAAAATGTAGTAATGAGACCAGGTCTGTGTGCCTTCCAGGATTATTGTAAAAATAAAATGAGTTGGGAGATATGATTTTGAAGGTGATAAGGATTTTATAGGATGACAATATCCTCTTTGTAAAGTGCAGATTAGATTAGAAGCTATAGCATTTTTAACTAGTTCTTAATAGTTTTCTTTGAGGTATAAATCAAAATGGCAGAAATTGTAACCCCCATCTGGTGATGTGGTTAGCTTTCCTTCTTTGATTGCACTGTGAATTCTGGTTATTTAGGACAAAAGTCTTTTAAGATCTTCCTTATAATGGCTAAATGGGATTTGGCTTAAAGAGAGAAAAAACAGATGATAGGAGAGTAGCTTGTTTGTATAGTTGTAATGAGTGATTAGGTGTAGCTTGAAGTAACTGTTGAGGATATAGAGAAATATAATTTTAAAAAGACTATTGCTTTTTGGGCATATATATATATATATTTTTTTTTTGACAGGCAGAGTGGACAGTGAGAGAGAGAGACAGAGAGACAGAAAGGTCTTCCTTTGCCGTTGGTTCACCCTCCAATGGCTGCCGCGGAGGGTGCGCTGCGGCCGGCGCACCGCGCTGATCCGATGGCAGGAGCCAGGTACTTCTCCTGGTCTCCCATGGGGTGCAGGGCCCAAGCACTTGGGCCATCCTCCACTGCCTTCCCAGGCCACAGCAGAGAGCTGGCCTGGAAGAGGGGCAACTGGGACAGAATCCAGCGCCCTGACCGGGACTAGAACCCGGTGTGCCGGCGCCGCAAGGAGGAGGATTAGCCTAGTGAGCTGCAGCGCCGGCTTATATTTGTTTTTATAAAAGGGAAAATTTGAAATGAGTAAAATAAGACTGGAATTTATATGCTTGCATTTAACAGTTTTCCACTGTAACTTTAAAAAGATAGTGCACATTCTTTTTTCTAAACAATTATTTATTTATTTGAAAGGCAGAGTTACAGAGAGAAGAAGAGAGAGAGAGATCTTCCATGCACTGGTTCACTCCCTAAATGGCTGTGACAGTCAAGGCTGAGCCAAGCTGAAGCCAGGAGCCTGAAACTGCATCGGGTTCTCTCACATGGGTGACAGTATTGGAGCCATCTTTTTGCTACTTTCCCAGTGCCTTAGCAGGGAGCTCAATCAGAACTGGAACAGCTGGGACTCAAACCAGCCCTCTGATATAGGATGACAGTGTTTAAGTGGCAGCTTAACCTGCCGTGCCGCTATGCCAGTCCCATGAATACTTTTTTTTTCCCCCGAAAATCTTAGATATAAATGAGGTGAAAATACTCTTTTTCTCCCTTCTCACATTTAATGCCTTATCCCCAATTTTTTAGTTTTAATGTTTTCTATCATTTCAATATAAAGTTTAAAATGAGGTTGGCTGTATAATCATATTTTTAGATGATTGAGGCATCTTTATGATCTAGACAGCTGTATTTTTAAGGCTTGATTTGGAGTATGCTAAACTATGTTTACTATTTAGTTTTCATAATTCTGCATTTTCACAGAATAAGATTTTCCAGATATTTGTATGTTCTTTGGAATTAACTGCAGTTGCTGAGGAACTTACATCTTTTATTGTTTCCCATGTTTTTCAGACTCATGAAATGGCCACAGATGATAAAACTTCCCCAACACTGGACTCTGCTAATGATTTGCCTCGATCTCCTACTAGTCCTTCTCATCTCACACACTTTAAACCTTTGACCCCTGATCAGGATGAACCTCCTTTTAAATCAGCATATAGTTCTTTTGTAAATCTCTTTCGATTTAACAAAGGTAAAACTTACTTTTTTTTTTAAAGATTTATTTATGTACTCGAAAGGCAGCGTTACAGCGAGAGAGGAAGAGAAGGAGAGAGGTCTTCTATTTAGTGGTTCACTCTCCCAAATGGCTGCGACAGCCAGAGCTGGGTGAGGCCGAGGCTGGGAGCCTGGGACTCCATCCAGGTCTTCCACATAAGTGGCAGGGTCCCAAGGACTTGGACTATCTTCTGCTATCCTAGGTACATTAGCAGGGAACTGCATCGGAATTGGAATAGCTAGGACTCATGTGGGATGCCAGCTGTGGCTGACTTAACCCACTGCACCACAACACTGGTCCTGAAAAGATACTTTTTAATGAATTCTTTTTAGGTAATAGTCCTGAAAAGATATTTTTTTTAATAAATTCTTTTTAGGTAGTGTGTTTTTTACATGGAAGAGAATCTTCTTTAAAAAGGACTATATAAAGGACTGTATTTTTGCCTTTTATTTGTCTGTATTATTTGAAAGTAATCCCTGATGTAAGGAATTTGAGGATGTAAATAGTTTAACTCAGAAATTTTACTAATATTAACTGAATTTTAATAGTGACCATGTTTGAATTACAGCAAAAACTCTGCTGAGTATATTTTAAATAAAATTATCTTTTTTCCTTTTGAAAACCTTTATTTGTTAGAACAGTTTTATATTTATAGAGAAGTTGGGAAGATAGTACAGAGAGAGTTCCCATGTATACCCATAACCAGTTTCCCTTATTGTTAACATCTTACGTTAGTATGTCTCCTTGTTTTACAGTTAGTGAACCATTATTGATTCACTATTCTTAACTAACATTTTTTTTTTTTTTTTTGCCAGGCAGAGTTAGACAGTGAGAGAGAGAGACACAGAGAGAGAGAGAGTTATAGGCAGTGAGAGAGAGACAGAAAGAAAGGTCTTCCTTCCGTTAGTTCACTCCCCTAATGGCCGATCTGAAGCTAGGAGCCGGGTGCTTCCTCCTGGTCTCCCATGCAGGTGCAGGGCCCAAGCACTTGGGCTATCCTCCACTGCACTCCTGGGTCACAACAGAGAGCTGGACTAGAAGAGGAGCAACCAGGACTAGTACCTGGCACCCCAACTGGGATTAGAACCCGGGGTGCCGGTGCCACAGGCAGAGGATTAGCCAAGTGAGCCACGGTGCAGGCCTTAACATGTATGTTTTATCCAGACTTCTTAAGTTGTCACCTAATGCTGTTTTTTAATTCCAGGATCCCATTCAGATACCACATTACATTTAGTTGTTATAAGACAATAATATTTTCATTCAACAAATATATATTGAGTACCTTTTATGCCATGGGCACTGTTTTAATAGCACAATGGATCTATCTCATAAACAGACCAAAACAGAAGAAAATCTGCACCTTTCTGTGTAGCATGTTTTCTGTATTTAATATGCTATAGTATATATTTAATATTTAATGAAATTAGAAATTTCTGATTAAAAATGAAATAGAAGAACACAAATAAGAATGTGATTGATTATTGGTTTCTAATTTTGCTCCCTTTGAATTTCTTTCTTAAAAAAGACCCTAATTTTCAATGATGCATGTAATACATATACATGTACATTTTTACCTCAAGAATTTCATCTACTCCTTTCTCTTTACTGACCGCCGAGTCGTGGTTTATCAAGTAATGCTGAGCTTTCCTTTGCTGCAGAGAGAACAGAAGGGGGCCAGGGAGAGCAGCAGTTGCCAAGTGGCAGTTGGGCTAGCCCTCAGCTCCCTTCAAGAACACAGTCTGTGCGGTCACCTGCACCTTATAAAAAACAGTTGAATGAGGAACTCCAGCGGCGTTCTTCAGTGTTAGGTAAAACAGTGTTCTTATTTCATTCTTCTATGTGTGTGAGGTTTTTTTCCCCATAGAAGTTGTGTTTGCCAGGTTGCTTACTGACTTAGTTTTTCTGCTGTTTGCAATAGTCAGGTACTCTTTAGAATGAATTGTAACCTAGATAGTGAAAGAAGTTGACGCCTATAAATATCCTTAAATATGTTATTACACTTTAATTTAGGCAAGGCACAGATCTCTTGATTGTTTTTTGATTAATTACCTGCTTGGGTTTCAGCAGAGAACAGTTTTCAACATCCCCAGGAGAACACAGGTTAGTTTCAACTTTTGTGAATGAATTTTGCCTCTATTCTGGGATGCCAGTAAATTGTGATGTGCATGCCTTTGGCTGCAGCACTCTGTCAACTCCATTAGTGGGCTGCCACTTGCTCTTGGTGTTCTGTCCTTGTTGGGATGCAAACTGTCATTGTGGCTGGGTAAGCTGAGCTCCTCTTGCTTGTTCATTCTCTGTCCTGCTCTACAGTCATCTTCATTTTCATGCCTGTCTGATGAGTACATCCCAGGGATCAGTGTCTGAGTTGAGAAACTAGAGAAAGTGAGGTGGTTGATGTTTTATTTCTGTTAGATTGTTAAACTCAGGTGAGTGGTTCACCCAACTCAAGTGATAGAAGAAAGGCAGTGGGAGGTGGCGTGATAAAGGGTATGGGGGAAGCATTGGGTGTATACAGATTCTGTCTGGTCAGTCTACCCTGTGAGTTCCTTGGGTGAAAAATGGGTGGAGGTAATGGCAGTTGACAAAAGACTTTTATTGCTAGCTGAGACTTGTTCTAACATAAGAATGAGGCAAAACCAAGCAGAAGCTTTTCTACTGGAGGGCTGGAGCAGAGCTGGCTGCATCACCTGCACAGGTTCTCTAGTGAGTCTCAGCTTGCTTACATCAGCATTTGGAAGGCAGACTCAAAAGGTGAGGAGGGGCACAGAGAGAAAGCTCTCCTTAGAGTCCAGATCATCTGCACTTTTTCAGTAGCCTTTTCTTAGCTCTTAAAACTGCTCCATGCTGATAGGCTAATTTTGTTGAGCATGTTTTATTTCTTCATTTGTAAGATTGAGGAATTGAGAGGCTGGCCTTGTGGCACATTGTGTTAAAGCTGGTGTCCCATATGAGTGCCATTTCAAGTCCCACCAAACCTGGATTGGAGTTCTAGGTTCCTGGCTTTGGTCTGGCTCAGCCCTTGGCATTGTGGCCATTTGGGGAGTGAACCAGCAGTTGGAAGATCTCTCTCTCTTTCTGTAACTCTGCCTTTTTTTTTTTTTTTTTAAGATTTTTTTAAAAATTTATTTGACAGGCAGAGTTAGACAGTGAGAGAGAGAAAGAGAGAAAGGTCTTCCTTCCGTTGGTTCACCCCCCCAAATGGCTGCTGCAGCTGGCGCTGTGCCGATCCGAAGCCAGAAGCCAGGTGCCTCCTCCTGGTCTCCCATGCAGGTGCAGGGCCCAAGCACTTGGGCCATCCTCCACTGCCCTCGCAGGCCACAGCAGAGAGCTGGATTGGAAGAGGAGCAACCGGGACTAGAACCCGGCACCCATATGGGATGCTGGCGCCGCAGGTAGAGGATTAGCCAAGTGAGCCATGGCTCCAGGCCCTGTAACTCTGCCTTTAAAATAAGTAAAATCTTTTGTTTTAAGATTTATTTATTTATTTGAAAGAGCTACAGAGAAGGAGAGGCAGAGAGAGATCGACCTGCTGTCTGCTGGTTCACTCCTCAAATGGTCACAGTGGTCAGTGCTGGGCCAGGCTGAAGCCAGGAGCCAGGAGCTTCTTTTGGGTGTCACACTTGGGTGCAGGGGCCCAAGGATTTGGGCCATCCTCTACTGCTTTCCCAGGTGCATTAGCAGGGAGCTGGACCAGCTATGGAGCAGCTGGGACTTGAACTGGCGCCCATATGGTATGCTGGCATTGCAGGTGTTTGCTTTACCTGCTATGCCTTAAAAAAGAAAAAAAAATTAAGGAATTGGTCTGGAATATAAATTTTTAGGGATTACAAAATGACAGCTTTCCACACTTTGTCTTTGGTGTTATAATAAACTTGAATTTAAATATGTTTAGGTGGATTCTGTAATGTCTAGTTTGCTGCAGTTTCCACCAGGAGTGTCTCTAATCAAGTCTGCTTGGTTCATTAAGTCTTTGGGGAGGAATTTGAGCTTCAGAAGTCTGGGACTGTTTAGTCAATCAAGTTCCTATCCCTACTAAGAGATTGTAATTATATAGTTTACTAGTTCTCTAACCTTAGAAAGGTTATTTGATTTTTAAATTTCAATTTTGCAAAAAAAAAACAAAAAAAACAAAAAAAAAAAAACAAAAAAACCCCACACACACAGTAAGTTCTTTGTCTGAGGGCAAAGAGCTAGACCAGATTTTCTTTTAAGATCTCTTTTACCTTCATCCAAGATCTGCAATTCTTTTGGTTCCCAGAGGGTCATGTTCATCCTTTTCCAGTGGATGATGCTATTATTAATATTCTCTTATATTTCCCAGTGGCTAATGCAAGAGTTCCCTTTGCCAATATGATTTTAACAGTTTTATCTGTCTCCTTTTTCAGCTCATAAAGAGTTGCTTTTTTTTGTTTGTTTGTTTTTTTTTTGGACAGGCAGAGTGGACAGTGAGAGAGAGAGAGACAGAGAGGAAGGTCTTCCTTTGCCGTTGGTTCACCCTCCAGTGGCCGCCGCGGCCAGCGCACCACGCTGATCCGAAGGCAGAAGCCAGGTGCTTCTCCTGGTCTCCCGTAGGGTGCAGGGCCCACGCACTTGGGCCATCCTCCACTGCACTCCCTGGCCACAGCAGAGAGCTGGCCTGGAAGAGGGGCAACCGGGACAGAATCCGGTGCCCCGACCAGGACTAGAACCGGGTGTGCCGGCGCCGCAAAGTGGAGGATTAGCCTAGTGAGCCGTGGCGCTGGCCAGAGTTGCTTTGTTTTGAGACTCAAGAAAAATTTTGTCATTGTGCTACTTCCCTGTTTGTAACATCACTTTGATATATGTGCTGAAATTAAGATGTAACTATTTATAGAAAGAGAAGTGTTTCAGTGTTTTCAGAAATAGGTGCCACTACAATAATTATTTCAGTAATTACATCATCTTGGGAAAATTTTTATGAATTTAGAGTTAGATACCAATATCTCATTTCTTTGTAATCCTTTTTTCTTCACTCAACCAAAACAACACATAAAGCAAATCTAGCAAATTGTGGGTTTAAGGAAGATTCAGAGTAAGGTATTATCTATGTTACAGTGGTACCCCCTTATCTGTGAGGCATACATTGTATGCCACTGGATACCTCAAATACAGATAGTACTGGACCCTATATACATTCTGTTTTTTCTTCACTACATGACTATGATAAAGTTTAATTTATAAATTAGACACAGTAAGAGATGAACAGCAATAACTAACAACAGAATAGAGTCATTATAATAGTATATCGTAATACAAGTTGTATGAATGTGATCTCTCTTGAAAGAGTCAAGACAAACATTGGTATTTTGGGGCTGCAGTTGACCACAGGTAGCTGAAACTGAGGGAACCATGGTAACACAGGTAATTAAGACTGAGTTTGAAACCATGGATAACAGGGGACCACTCTATTTTTTGTAGGTTATTAGGTTAATGAGTTTAAGCTAATAGGATGCTCATTTTCATTTTATTTGAAAGGCATACAGTTAGAGACAAAGAGACATAGAGAATTGTCTGCTGGTTCATTCCCCAAGTGCCTAAAATAGCCAGGGCTGGCCAGACCCAAGCCAGGAGCCTGGAACTCAGTCAGGGTCTCTGTTGTGTTTGGCAGGGACCCAAGTCCTTTGAGCCATCATCTGCTGCCTGTCAGGGTATACATAAACAGGAAACTGCATCAGAAAACAGATAGCTGGAACTCAAAGCAGGTACTCTTTTTTTTTTTTTTTTTTTTGACAGGCAGAGTTAGAGAGTGAGAGAGAGACAGAGAGAAAGGTCTTCCTTCCGTTGGGTCTACCCCCAAATGGCTGCTACGGCTGGCGTGCTGCGCCGATCCCAAGCCAGGAGCTAGGTGCTTCCTCCTGGTCTCCCATGTGGGTGCAGGGCCCAAGCACTTGGGCCATCCTCCACCAAAGCAGGTACTCTTGATAGGGGATACAGACATTCCAGGCAGAATCTTAACTGCTGTGCCATATGCCCACCCCGGTGTTCATCCCTGTTGTCAAACCATGTGTCCTTCACCTGTAAGTTTTGTTGTTGCTGGAGCCAGGAATAGATAGAAACTTCACTTGTAACTTTGCTCTCAAATAAATAGTGGATGGCCGCTTTGGTGGATATATCCCATAATGGCTCAAAGCTGGAATTTGAGCTTACTTTATTATTGAGTGATTTGGCTTTAATATTGCTGTTTCAAGTATAAGTAGTCCCTTACAGTTTGGGGCTGCAGAGTTGAGGCGGTGAGAGGGAAGGGTAGGATTGGCATTTTTGCAATTCTCTGGCAGTTTTAATCTATGTAGAATTATTCAGTTTTATCATGGCAAAATGTACCATCCTGCATGTTCTGAAGTCTCTCTGAATCTTTGGGAGCTGGGCTAAGTTCTTTTTGATGATCTGTTCCGTGAGACCTCTGGATGTAGGGTCTGCAGACAGAGTTGAATTGTTTGATCCTAATGCTTATCTTTTTGACTTTAGAGACCAATCTAAATTAACCCTCTGGGATTGCTCTCCTTTATACTACTTTTCTAGCAGGTATGATATGTTGGGACCAAGGGTGCAAGAAATCATTAATGAATTCTGAGCCATTTAAGTGATACTCCTATTCCAGGCCTCAAAACTGTAAATGATCTCAGACAGTTCTTGTCTTAGGTAGCCCTTACTTGCTTGTGAAATGGTATTCTTCATGGTGACAAATAGTTTTAGCATCCTCTTATAAAGACTGGTTTTAGTGTCACTGAATGGGAGAACATAAGTATATGCTAACAGTAAGAAGCATTTTGTATCACATACCTTGTTATATATAGACATTTGGAATTTTTAATAAGTTTTTTTTTTTTTTTTTCGTTCACTCTGACTTAGACACAAGGAGGAAAGCAGAACCTACCTTTGGAAGTCATGACCCTCGTACAGCTGTTCAGCTTCGAAGCCTCAGCACAGTGTTAAAACGCCTCAAGGAAATTATGGAGGGGAAAAGCCAGGTACTCTCTGGAGGCTTTGGAAGATTACTTATTGAACCTTAGGGAGATCATGCCATGCCAATTCAAAATGACGTAATTCTATTAGAAAGAAAGTTTAAATCATGTTTCTTCCAGGTATTTTTTCCAGATATACTGTATTTTTACAGTATATTCTTAACTGTATTGTAGTCTAATTCATCAATTTCCCCCCCTTCACCATTGGTGATTTTTGTGTTCTTAACAGTGTTTATCAGTTCTAGAAGCTTGTGAATAAATAGTAGTTAAGCCTCCTTTTTTCCTCATGGAAGTCCATCCAGTTGAACTGAGCACTGTTGTTTTTAAAAAGACCACCTTGTTTTTTTTCTCTATCTTTTTTTTATATGCTTGTACCAATACCCTATCTTAATTATTCCAGCTTTAGAATAAATCTTGATGGGAGGTAATGTCAGCCTTTGTTCCTCAAGATTGTCTTAATCGTTTTGGCTTTATGCATTCCCATATGAATTTTATTTTATTTTATTTTTTAAAAGATTTTATTTAGTTATTTGAGAGGTAGAGTTACAGACAATGAGAAGGAGAGAGAGAGAAAGGTCTTCCATCTGCTGGTTTACTCCTCAAATGGCCGCAATGGCCAGAGCTGGGCTGATCAGAAGCCAGGAACCAGGAGCTTCTTCCAGGTCTTCCATGTGGGTGCAGGGGGCCCAAGTGCTTAGGCCATCTTCTGCTTTCCCAGGCCAAAGCAGAGAGCTAGATTGGAAGTAGAACATCTGGGACCAGAACCAGAACCCATATGGGATGCCTGGGCTGCTGGTGGAGGATTAACCTATTGTGCTATAGCGCTGGTCCCTCGTATGAATTTTAGAATTAGCTTGTTGACTTCTGCAAAAGAAACTTTCTAGGATTCTGATTATGCATTTTGCCATTGTATGTTAATTATCAGTATTTTCAAGAAGCCTTCATGCATTTTTACTGTTACAGGATAGTGACCTGAAGCAATACTGGATGCCAGATAGCCAGTGTAAAGAGTGCTATGACTGCAGTGAGAAGTTTACAACCTTTAGGCGCAGACACCATTGTCGACTCTGTGGGCAAATTTTCTGCAGTCGTTGCTGTAATCAAGAAATTCCTGGAAAATTTATGGGCTATACAGGTAAATGCGTTTTATTGGCAGTTTTTATAAGTTTTAGAGGTCATAACTTTAAAATAGTTATAACACAGGACAGCATTACGCCAGTTTTTGTTTTGGGTGGTAGGTAGAAGACATGGGGACACAAAGGTAAGGGAGACACAGCTTTGGTTTTGACAGCTTTACAGTTAAATAACAAAGTAGATAATGAATGTCCACAAGTTACAAGAGTAAAAGGAGTATATCGCAGTTGTTAGTAAAAAGATGGTTAGAATAGATTTCTCATTTTCTTTAAGGATTTATTTTTAAAATTTATTTGAAAGGCAGAATACAGAGAGAGAGAGAGAGAGAGAGAGAGAACCATTTGCTGGTTCACTCCCCAAATGGCCACAACTACAAGGGCTGAGCCAGGGTTAAGTCAGGAGCCAGGAGCTTTTTCTGGGTTTTCCACATGGGTTCAGCGGCCCAAACACTTGGGCCATCTTCCACTGCTTTCCCAGAAGTATTAGCAGTGAGTTGAATCAGAAGTGGAGCAAGAACTCAAACTGCTGCCCATATGAGAGGCTGGCACTGCAGGTGGAGGCTTAACCTTCTAGGCCATTGCCCTGTCCCCTGATTTGTAATTTGTTTTACCATGAGGACTTTAATTTTACAAAGTACAAATATTCCTTGACTTATGTGACATTGTACTTTGGCAAATTGTATCTTACACTCTTTCATAAGGAACACAATCAAATTTTAGCGATACAGAACATTTTTTTATTGAAACAGAAAAATTTGTTGAAACAGAGTATTGTGTGGATATATACAGTGATTGGGGAATGGAAAGAAGAATTCTCCCAAGAGAGAATACTTACTCTCCCTCTTTTGGTCTTAACTCAGTTTTTTCTTCACCTAATTTGTTGGGGAGTCCAAAATCCCATTTTCTTTCACTCAGATCATGACCACAGCTTTCAAAAGCTCTTTATCTTTAGTTTTTTCCTACCTCTAATTCACTTTTCATACTCTAGCCAGTATTCTTTGTAAAATGCTAATATGATCACCACGGACTATTCCTTTGCCTAATACTCTCTCAGTGCTCATGTTTACCATTAAGATAAAACATGTCTTGTTAATACTGTTGGTGTGTTAGTTTCCTAGGGCTTCCACAAATTGGATGGTTTAAAACAACAGAAATTTATTGTCTTAGGATTCTGAAGGTCCTAAGTACTCTAATAGACATCACTCCACATTCTAGGGAACCAAAGTAGGGATTCTGCCAGTTGCTGAATCTGTCTGTTCCAATTATATGTTCCAGAATTTGGGAAATAACCACAAAATGGGCTTGGGGATCCACTAAACCCACTGTAAGATGAACTGTGAACTAAAACTCCATTATCTATCCTCCATAAACCCCTGGTTTGACTGTTGGGGTACAGTAAAGTTTTGGGTGTTGTGGAATTGTTGTCTGTATTCAAACAGGGATGGGGAATGTCTGGCCCATGAGCCGTGTAAGGCCTATGAAATCATTTGTTTTGACCCTGCCAAGGCAATTGCAGGTGGGACTCATTCAATAAATCTTTGTCAGGCTAATTTTAAGTTGATAATTTTGTGTGGCCTGCAGATAATGCTATAAATATCCAATTGCCCTTGGCAAAAGAAAGGTTCCCCACCCCTCACAGAGTCTTTAATCCCTGAAAACTTTGACTATTTCCTTTTGCTCAGTGTATCTGATCACCTTGGTAAAAGTCTGTAAGTCCTTTTGGGGAAGGCTGGTAGAAAGATTAATAATATAAATTCTTAGCAGTATAGTGGGGTTCTTCAGGGGTATCCTGTTTGTTCGTTCAGAGAGTTCTGGGTTTGTATAAGGCTCAAGTCTGGGAATCTGTTGATGGGTCATGACTTTGTTTTTATAATTCATGTTAGATGTCTGTATACTTTGTTTAGAATTCTGCCTCCCATATTTGAAAAAATCAAGTAAAAATTTAATTGGCTGGGGCTGGTACTGTGACACAGCAGGTTAAGGCCCCAGCCTGCAGTGCTGGTATCCCATATGGGCACCAGTTCGAGCCCTGGTCTACTTCTGATCCAACTGATCCAGCTCTCTGCTGTGGCCTGGGAAAGCAGTGGAAGAAGGCCCAAGTGCTTGGGCCCCTGCACCCGTGTGGAAGACCCGGAAGAAGCTCCTGGCTCCTGGCTTCGGATCAGCTCAGCTCTGGCCATTGCGGTCATCTGCAGAGTAAACCAGTGGATGGAAGACCTCTCTTAAAAAAATTAATTGGCTGTCCAACTACTTGATTTCTAGGGGCACCATGATCAATTATGCATTGATATACATTTCTTTAAGTCAGTCTGTTCTGTTTACTTACTGTCTGCTGTGTATTGCAGAAAGCGTGCCCACCTGTCTTTGGCTGTTAAGTATCATCACTTGACCCTTGCCATCCTGGAATCCAATTATCCCCACTTTTTATTTGTTTATTTTTTACAAAAAACTTTTGGAGTCTATGCATAGTTTTTTCATAAAATACATTTTCTATAAACTTTTTGAAGTCCTTTTTTTATGTAGAGAGATGTATTTTAGTGAGGTGGCTCAAATGATTATGGGGCTGGAAGTCCGCGATTCTCAGGGCAGGCTAGCAGACTGGAAACTCCTGCAGGATTTCCATCATACCGTGTTAAGACAATTTGTTTTTCATCTGGAAACTTTTAGTCTTTTCCCTTGGTGCCTTCAGCTGATTGAATGAGACCCACTCACGTTATGGAGGGTAATCTGTTTTACATAATGTCAACTGATTGTAGCTGTAATTACATCCAAAAAAGCAAGAAGCCTTCACGGGGCTGGCACTGGGCTGCAGCAGGTGCAGCTGCTGCTAGTGATGCTGGCATCCCATATCTGAGCTACTCCAGCTTCCTGCTAATGTGTCTGGGAAGGCAGCAGAGGGAGGGCCTTATACTTGGGTACCTGCCTCCAAAGTAGGAGACCAAGGTGGAATTCCTGGTTCCTGGCTCCTGGCTTTGGCCTGGCACAGACCTGGCTGCTGTAACCATTTGGAGAGTCAACCAGTGAATGTAAGATGTTTCCCTCTTCCTCTTTCTCTCTTGCTGTGCCTTTTAAATAAATAAATAAATAAAAAAAATCAATCAATCAATAAATAACATAGAAAAAAACCTTCACAATGACATTTTGACTATTTGACACATTAACCATTGCAAGTGGAACATTGGGTATTGACAGAACTTGCACAAGTGACTATGAATTTAATGTGAAATACCTGGAACAGTGTCTGGAACATAGGAGAGGTTCAAAAAATATTAGGCTATTATTGGTGGTGATAATAGCAGTAATACCTGCATATGCCACACAGCGTTTTAAATTCTACATATGTCTGTTGCCTCTAGTGGGCTCTGAATTCTTGATGGCAGAGATGTGTCTTGTCAGTCTTTTATTTCCATCACATAAGCAAGCATGAGCCAGGCCTTTGCTGATGAAGGTACTTAATGAAAACTTTTTTGATTAGGCTTGGCTGTATTTATTGACTAGATAATTTTAATTTTAATAGCTGACTGGTTAAGGAAAATTTCTTTATAGTGGAAGAAAGGAATCCAGCCTTTGTTGTGGTAAAGTGGTTTTCTGCAGGGAGTAATTTGCTTATGGCAATTCTCAATTCTGCTTTGGTTAGTTGATGGTGGTTTGTTGATTTGTCTTAGCATTTTTATTTATTGCATACTGGGATTCAGTTATTTTCTTTTTTTTTTTTTTTTGATTGAAGTAAATCTATTTTACTTTAGAGTTTTAATACATTTTATCAGAAATTAGTAATGCAGAGCTAGTGTTGTGGCACAGTGGGTTATGCTGCTACTTGCTACGTCAGCATCCCATATTGGAATGCTGGTTCAAGTCTCAGCTATTCTACTTCCAAGTCAGTTTCCTGCTAATGTGCCTGGGAGGGCAGCAGAAGATGGCCCCAAGTACTTAGACCCCTGCCACCCACATGGGAGACAAAGATGGAGTTCTTGGCTCCTGACTTTGGCCTGGCCAAAACCTGGCTATAGCAGCCATTTGGGGAGTAAACTAGCAGACTGAAGACCTGTCTTTATTCTGCCTTTAAAAAATAAACAAATAAATTTTAAAATAGAAACTAGTAATGCAAGAAGTGATATTGTGATAAAATATATGTATAATTTTATTAATAAAGTTGGAAACTGTAAAATAATAGCATTAAAATGAAAAAGAAAGGTCATTTATACTGGGTAGTAATTATATTACAATACAGTGAACTTTTAGAAATCTTTAGTGTCACTTCAGATTTCTGTTGGTAGAAAGGGCATAAGATAGAATCGTTAAATAACGTGTTATTAGTAAAGTTTAATTATTTTGCCTCCTTTTTTACTATAGCAGATTGTTACATAATCACACAGAAAACAGTGTTACAGAAAAACAAGGTTGAAATAAAAGTGTGTTTGGCACAACATAAAACAAAAATCAGAAATATTAAGTAACTTTATCCTCCCAAGAATATTTTATTTTTATCCCAGTTTTGACTACAAGAACTTATGTAGTTTTTACCCCATGTATTTGTATCATTGTATTTTTTTTTTTCGACAGGCAGAGTTAAGACAGTGAGAGAGAGAGACAGAGAGAAAGGTCTTCCTTCCGTTGGTTCACCCCCCAATTGGCCACTGTGGCCGGCCCTGTGCCGATCCGAAGCCAGGAGCCAGGTGCCTCCTCCTGGTCTCCCATGCGGGTGCAGGGCCCAAGCACTTGGGCCATCCTCCACTGCCCTCGCGGGCCACAGCAGAGAGCTGGATTGGAAGAGGAGCAACCGGGACTAGAACCCAGATCCCCATCCGGGACTAGAACCCAGGGTGCCGGCGCCACAGGTGGAGGATTATAGTGAGCTGTGGCGCAGGCCAATATCCTTGTATGTTAAGCCCATTTCCTATTTACTTGTTTTGAAAATTGTGCCCCCTTGTGGAAGCCACTATTCAGGGCTTCATAGCAGAGACTGTTTTCTTATTGCCTAGGGAAAATATGTTTTAGTTTGTAATGGTTTATTCTACTAAATTTTTTTTTTCCGTTGGAACGCCTGTCTCTGATAGAACTCCTATTTAGTCTCTACAATATTGAAGAAATACTCCTTTAAGCACAGTTTTCTAGTATCATTGGGTTGTGTTTTCCTGTTCTCTTAATTTTTTTACAAGTATTTGAGGGAATTTGGCCACTTGGATTAATTTATCATAATGATGGTTCTTAAAATATTTAAAACATATAACAGAGTTAACAAAATTATTTCACTTCTTTAAAATTTTTTTATAAATAAATCTTTTATTTTTTGTTATTTAAAATTTCTTTTTTGATAGTCTACTTGAAAAAAACATCTTCCTGTGTCTAGATTAACTTTTTTTTTTTTTACTACTAGGTTAACTATTAACAAAAGGTTATAAAATGTTCTGTTAATTAATGTATTATTGCTATCTTTTACTTAACTTTCTTTCTTTTTTTTTTTCCTAGGAGACCTTCGAGCTTGTACATACTGTAGAAAAATAGCCTTAAGTTATGCTCACTCCACAGATAGTAATTCTATTGGGGAAGACTTGAATGCTCTTTCAGATTCTACTTACTCCGTATCTGTACTCGATCCAAGTGAACCCCGAACACCTGTTGGGAGTAGAAAAGCCAGCCGTAACATATTTTTAGAGGATGATTTGGCCTGGCAAAGGTATTATCCTTTAAATTTGTAATTTGTTTTAATTTGGGAAATCGTGATAGTTTTGTGAACCATGACTGCTTTTGGCTAATGTTTAGTTTCATTGAATTGTTTCTGCAAATTCATTATTTTTTTTGTTTTTTCCTTGGCTTGCCTCTTGAAGGCTTACAGATATTTATGGATAGTGATGAAATTGACTGATTAGACTATAAGCTTCATAAGAAGAGAAACTTTATACCTTTCTTTTTTTTTTTTAATTTTTTTTTTATTTTATTTTTGACAGGCAGAGTGGACAGTGAGAGAGAGAGACAGAGAGAGAAAGGTCTTCCTTTGCCGTTGGTTCACCCTCCAATGGCCGCCGCTGCAGCCGGCGCACCGCGCTGATCCGATGGCAGGAGCCAGGATCCAGGTGCTTTTCCTGGTCTCCCATGGGGTGCAGGGCCCAAGCACCTGGGCCATCCTCCACTGCACTCCCTGGCCATAGCAGAGAGCTGGCCTGGAAGAGGGGCAACCGGGACAGAATCCGGTGCCCCGACCGGGACTAGAACCCGGTGTGCCGGCGCCGCAAGGTGGAGGATTAGCCTATTGAGCCACGGCGCCGGCTCATCCTTTCTTTGTTCATAATGCTCTTAGTACTATTGACAGTGCATGGCATATATATGATTTTGATAATACTTGCTGAATAGACAGCAGAAGTAACTGAGATACATAATTCCTATAATTCCTAATGAAAGAAGAATGATCATAGATTTGAATTAATATTTCCAAATGAATTCAGGCGTTTTTCTTTCTAAAGGAATATTTCATGTCTTTTGTGTACCTGAGTCTTCTGCACTATCTGGTAGTGGTAATGGAGGATACTACCAATTTTTGAGATTCATCAGTTCCTTTTTTTTTTTTTTTTTAGCTAAATTATTTTCTTAAGCATAGTATCAAATCTGGCCATGACAAAGAGTTAAGTTTTATCCGAAATCTTTCTGATAGGTTATTTTTTCAGTTACCCCTTAAGAGACCAATTAGTGTATAATGAATTTAAACAAATAAAAAAAATGAGTTATGGTTAAATCCAACATCTGTGAATCTTAGGGGCATTTGTACAGCAGAAAAGAAAGAAGATTACCTAATTAAGATGCCATTTATTTGAAGTTCAAAAATGTATAAAATTAATATGTTGTCTAGGGATACAAAAATTTACAAAACTAATAAATTATCTAGGGAGACCAACATGATATAATATAAAATGAAAACAATGATAAACATTCTAACAGTGGTTTCATTGAGGATAGAGAAATGGGTTGAGTATGAGGAACACAAACATTTCAGTCAGTGGTAGTTTTCTTAAGTTACTTGATTACTTTGGTGTTTGTGACATAATTATTTCTACCTTACATATATTTTATAAATTTTACACATTTAACTCTATAGTAAAACAATACCAACGATAGGGATTCCTCAATTCTTGCTTACTTTAGTTAGTAGTGCCTTTTAGTTGTGTCTGGCCCTGTTGCATCTGGCCCTGTTGTATAAGCCCACGACTGGCAAGTATGATTTAATGAAAAAAAAAAAGATGTATAAAAGCTTCTTGAAAGATCTAGGTTACGTAAGAAGGTAAAATAATAGTTAAATTTTAGGTTCTGTGCTCTTTAGTATTTTTTTTAAAGATTTATTTATTTATTTTAAAGTCAAAGTTACACAGAGAGAGAAGGAGAGACAGAGAAAGAGAGGTCTTCCATCTGCTGATTCATTCCTCAATTGGCCGCAATGGCTGGATCTGTACTGATCTGGAGCCAGGAGCCAGGAGCTTCTTCCGGGTGTCCAACATGGGTGCAGGGGCCCAAGGACTTGGGCCATCTTCTACTGCTTTCCCAGGCCATAGCAGAGAGCTGGATTGAAAGTAGAGCAGCTGGGACTTGAACCAGCGTCCATGTGGGATGCCGGTGCTTCAGGCCAGGGTGTTAACTTGCTGAGCCACAGCGCGGCTCCCTCTTTAGTGTTAATTATCTCTGTGGCAGGTACTATTTTCTCCTTTTGACAGATGTGGGTGCTGAAGTTCAGAGAGGTTAAGTAATGAATCCAAGGTCACACAGCTAGTAAGAAGTAGATCCAGCACTTGGACCTATGGTTGTTTGATTCTGTATTGCTATTTTAGTTTGTTATGGGGACTGAGAATAAAATATTTGAACTCAGTTTTCCCCTAAAATCAATTTCTTCTTATATATATGATGTGAGAAAGAGTTCTGTAAGTCATCTACCCAGCCAATTTTTTTTTTTTTTTTTTGACAGGCAGAGTGGACAGTGAGAGAGAGAGACAGAGAGAAAGGTCTTCCTTTGCCGTTGGTTCACCCTCCAATGGCCGCCGTGGCCAGCATGCTGCGGCCGGTGCACCGCGCTGATCCGATGGCAGGAGCCAGGTGCTTCTCCTGGTCTCCCATGGGGTGCAGGGCCCAAGCACTTGGGCCATCCTCCACTGCACTCCCTGGCCACAGCAGAGAGCTGGCCTGGAAGAGGGGCAACCGGGACAGAATCCGGCGCCCTGACCGGGACTAGAACCTGGTGTGCCGGCGCCGAAAGGCGGAGGATTAGCGTAGTGAGCCATGGCGTCGGCCTACCCAGCCAATTTTATTATTTTATTGGTATTTCACATACATCAAAAAAACTTTTCAATATAATTCTTTTAGCATTTAATATACCTAAGATAAAAATGATACCCAGTTTCCACTGTAATTGAAGAACAAAAATGACTCAGTATCTCATATTTTTTAGAAAAAAATTTAATTTGCTTTAAAATACTAAAGTACCTTATTGAATTGGATTTGCCTCTTATTGTCCCAGTATTTCCCCATTTTCTTTCTAGTTTGATTCATCCAGACTCCTCGAACACTGCTCTTTCAACAAGACTTGTATCTGTCCAAGAGGATACTGGGAAATCTCCAGCTCGAAATAGGTAAGCTGCCAAATAAAAATCAATGTTGTGTGTCTAATTTTTATTTCTTTTAATGGTAATGAGAAGAACAAACAGTTTTTTAAAAGGTGGGATTGAAGCCGGTGCCGCGGCTCACTAGGCTAATCCTCCGCCTTGTGGCGCCGGCACACCGGGTTCTAGTCCCGGTTGGGGTGCCGAATTCTGTCCCGGTTGCCCTTCTTCCAGGCCAGCTCTCTGCTGTGGCCAGGGAGTGCAGTGGAGGATGGCCCAAGTGCTTGGGCCCTGCACCCCATGGGAGACCAGGATAAGTACCTGGCTCCTGCCATCGGATCAGCGCGGTGCGCTGGCTGCAGTGCGCCAGCCGCGGCGGCCATTGGAGGGTGAACTAACGGCAAAGGAAGACCTTTCTCTGTCTCTCTCTCTCTCACTGTCCATTCTGCCTGTCCAAAAAAAAAAAAAAAAAAAAATAGGTGGGATTGGTTGGCATTTACTCTCCTAACTCTAAAAGTTAAACTATCATTTCCTTTTTCTTGGTCAATTTTCATTTTCGTTCTCCATGGCGCAATCTGATATTCTCTGCTGGCTTCAGACATCAGAACTGACAGCATCCTCTGTTTTTATAGTTCAGTAGAAGGACCCAAAGGATGTGAAAAGAGTGAGCCATTTGGATGTTTGTGGTAGGATATGCCATTAAAATATGAATACCAACTTCCTGAAAGGGAGCATATCTGACAAGGAGTAGCAGCCAAGGAGTCCTGTGTGTCTGGAATAGAGCAGTCATCAAACTAAGTGCAAGGACTCCCATTTACTCTGAATGAGATTTTTTTCTTCCTTATTTTTAATCATTTTGAAGAAAATTGAAACTTATAGAAAAGTTTTAAGAATAGAATAATAAATGTTCATATATTCCTCATTAAGATTTACTGATTTGGGGCTGCCATTGTGGCAAAGTGGGTTCAATTCCTGGCTGCTCTGCTTCTGAACCAGTTCCCTGCTAATGTGCCTGAGAAAGGAGCAGCAGATAGCCCAAGTGCATAGAACCCTGCCATTCATGTGGGAGACTGGATAGAGTTCTAGGCTCCTGGATTTGGCCTGCTTTGGGGAATGAGCCAACTAATGGAAAATCTCTCTCTCTCTCTAACTCTGCCTTTCAAATAAATATTAAAAATAAAGATTTACTGATTTACATTTTATACATTTTCTTTGTCACTTTTTATGTTTTAGTATGCATTGTAATTTTGGGAAGCATTTGACAGCAAGTTATAGACATTTTTGTCTTTTGCTTTTTTTTTGGTTAATGTTTATTTTTTACAGCAGTTTCAGGTTCATAGCAATATTGAGTGGAAAGTACAGAAAATTCCCTTTATCAGTAATTCTGTTTTTTTTTTTTTTTTCCTTCTTCCTCATTGGTGTGACAGGGTGACTAGAGGAGGCTGGAGTATATTTCCCTTCCTGCCCCTGCAGGAGACTGGAGGGGATTTTTCTCTGAGGTAGACCTTGAAGACCTGAAGGTGAAACTGACAAGCCTTCTCCCCAACAGAACTACTTGATGCTGCACCACAGTGCTGGCCCACAGCTGTTTTTTTTTTTTTTTTAAAGATTTATTCATTTGAAAGGCAAAGTTACGGACAGGCAGAGGTAGAGAGAGAGATCTTCTATCCACTGGTTCACTCCCCAAATGGCTGTAATGGCCGGGGCTGGGCCTATTTGAAGCTAGGAGCCAGGAGCTTCTTCCAGGTCTCTCATGTGGGTGCAGGGGCCCAAGGACTTCGGCTATCTTCCACTGCTTTTCCAGGTCATACCAGAGAGCTGGATTGGAAGTAGAGCAGCTGGGACTTGAACTGGTGCCCATATGGGAAGCCAGTACTGCAGGTGGTAGCTTTACCTGCTATGCCACAGTGCCAGCTATCCCCCCACCCCCACCCCAACTCTTAAATTATTTTAAAAATAGCTTTATCTTCATACTGGAAGGAACATACTTTTTCAACTGAGACCTAGTTTTGATTGATAGTCCTGATATTAGGTGAGTTACTTTACACAGATTATTTAATTTGTGATTCTTGATTTCTTTATCTGTGAAATGGAGGTAGTAATACATACTCCATAGTGTACTATGAGGATTAAATGAGGAAGGATGCATATATTGCCCTAATGGATGCATTATATATTGTCTAACACATAGATGCTTTTGCTTTTTTTTTTTTAATCCTTTATATGGAAGCTAAAATTGAGTTTCATTTTTTTCTAGGTAGAAGCTTAACTAAATTTCTGGGTAAATACTTTTTATAAATAAAAGCTTGATCATTGTGTTGATATTCCATTGATAAGCCATTTATCTGGTATAAGGATAAGGATATATATGTAAGTACTTATTTCATGAGAGGAAACAAGTAACTGTTTCCAAAATAAAAATTATTTCCAGTGATAATAATTGAAGATAACATTTTAAATAGGCATCTAAGGAGAAGAAAGGAATTATTTTTGTGGGTGTAACAGGTTGCTTAGTTGGAGTTCAAAATTAGTGTGTTCCTTGTCAGATTGGTTGTAGACATTCAAATATAAAAAAAAAATTCTTAGTTCATGAGCTATACAGAAAAAAGGGGGCAGAATAGGTTTGGCATGTGGGCCAGAATTTTTCAGCCTTGGTCTACAGGATTATTTCTGTATCGTTTTTATATTTGTCAATTTAAAGAGCTTTTAACAGGAGGAATTTTTGCCTATGCCCTTTAGAAAAGCATATATGCGCTATACATTGTAACCCTTCCAGAACTACTTTCTTTTAAACTTACTTCCAAATAATTTTAGACTCACATAAAAGTTGCAAATATATGAAGAGGCTCCAAAAACTTACAGAAAGTATGTGTTACCATGTGATTCTGTTGGTGAACTCTGTGAAGCCCCTCTGCGGTCTGGAAAGTTTCTGGATATCCTTTCCCCAGTGTCCTGATGATCACATGCATGGTCATTCTGTTTGTAGACACATCCTCAACGTTGGCAAGCAGGCATTTATTTGGCAATGCATTTTCACTGTGATTTATAACTGAAGAATTTATAACTGTGATTTCACTTTTTTAAATTTCTAGGTCAGCCAGCATTACTAACCTGTCACTGGATCGATCTGGTTCTCCTATGGTCCCCTCGTATGAGACGTCTGTCAGTCCCCAGGCTAGCCGCCCATATATTAGAACAGAGACCACTGAGGATGAACGCAAAATTCTTCTGGTACTGGTCCAGTGTCTTTGACCCTTTGCTAGTTCTGAGCAATGTTTATCTTACTTATGTTTAAAGAATGTTTATCTTGCTTATATTTAATATATATATAGATGAAATAGCATATCAATTAAATAGAGAAATAATTAGCTTAAGTTTTCACTAGGAGCACCTGAGAAACTGGTCAACCATTTGCACTCAATGCATTCGTATTTTCTTTATCCCTTTCTTCTTGCACAGTTAGAATTTAGTTGCCTCTGTAATGAAAAGGTTAACTTTTTAGTTTGGTCCCAGATTGCTGAGAAACATATTTCTCATGCACGTGGAAAACTTTTCAGACATTTAATACTATATAGGTTTATATGAGATAATAGTTTATTTGTTTATGTGTAAAATATTATGTTCACTCCTAAGAGTGACTCAAAGAAATGGGAAATATGGCTTCTGTTTTCAAGCTTACAATTCAAAAAGTGGAAATAAAATCAGCAAGAAAGTGAGGAAGTCCTTAAAATAAAAGTAATACTGTAATAATAAAAAGAATATCAAGTTAATAATATGATTATATGTCATATAAGATATAAGAATTCAAAAAATGGAAAGATTATTCCTAGTAAGAGACTCCGAAGGGCTTTTTTTTTTTTTTAAAGATTTATTTATTTGTTTGAAAGTCAGAGTTACAAAGAGAGAGACGGAGAGGCAGAGAGACTTCTTCCTTCCATTCACTGGTTCACTCTCCAATTGGCCACAGTGGCTGGAGCTGTGCCGATCCAAAGCCGGGAGCCAAGAGCTTCTTCCAGGTCTCTCACGTGGGTGTCGGGCCCAAGGACTTGGGCCATCTTCCACTGCATTCTCAGGCCATAGCAGAGAGTTGGATCAGAAGTGGAGCAGCCAGGACTCGTACCGGCACCCACATGGGATGCTGGCACTGCAGGCGGTGCCTTTACCTGCTACGCCTCAGTGCCAGTCTCAGGAAGGGCTTTCAGTGAAGGATCTTGAATTGGACCGTGAAGGATGGAATTGATTTGGATTGGCATGAGGGAAGGGAATAGTCCACAAAGGTGTGAAGACAGGTTATAGGGCTAAGAATAAGCTTGACATTTTCCACGGACTGAAGGAGGGATTTATGAATTAAGAGAGAAGTTGTACTCTGTAGGCAGTAGAATGTGAAGTTGTCTGGGACAGTGAATTCCAGTCCTTACAGATTTAGGTTTGAACCCGTTCACTGTGCAATGTTGGAGGTTTTCTTGAGCTGGGAGTAATTTACTGAAGGCTTTCTTCTAGGAAAATTCACCTAGCAATTGGGTATAGCTGAGAATGGTGAGAATCTGGTGGAATAAAGGCTACTAGGAACAGTTATCTTAGGTTCCTAGAATTGGCTGTTGTCTCCCTCTACCTTGCCCCATCTCTAAAGAAGAGTATTTTTTGCACTTAGGTAAGTAAGATACTGGTAATATGTGTTATTGGTGGAAAACAAAGTATTTGAGATAGTTGATTTTTGAGAGCAATAATTATATTGAGGGCTAAATTAGTTGAGTTTAAGCTGTTCTCTATGTATATGTAATTATTATTAAATCATATGCATTAGTATAAAATACAAATTCAGTTTCCTTTTATGAATATAAGAGTCACAGGTAGCATCTTAAAAAGTAAAAGGCACTGTTCTGGGAGTGATTGCTGACTCTTAACATGTGATTGCAGGACAGTGTTCAGTTGAAGGACCTGTGGAAAAAAATCTGCCATCACAGTAGTGGAATGGAGTTTCAGGATCACCGTTATTGGCTGAGAACGCATCCCAACTGCATTGTAGGAAAGGAGTTAGTCAACTGGCTAATCCGAAATGGACACATTGCTACAAGGTATTGTGGTATTAATGAAGAGGTTTTGCTGTTCTTTCTTTCTTTTTAATGAGGATGCATACTTGAAGAAAGAAGGTAGCATATTTCTTGGTTAGGTACTGTTTCATGGATTTGATGAATACTCAGTCTTCCTCCTGTCTGGGTTGTGACCAGTAGAGAATAGGTGCAAGTAGCCAAAGGGGGTTATAGTTCACCTTATGAAAAGCAGAAGTCTGCAGTTACCTCCAAAGCAGAACTTTCTGGTAAAAAAGGATTGGAGAATATAGCTAGAGCCCAAGGCCAAAGGATTCTTCTGCTTCTGTTCTCTACTGTAGACATTGTAGCTTTCATTAACCACACTTGGATAGTCCTAGCCTGCCTCACAAATCATTGTAAGAAAGATAACACATGTAGCCTATTGCCTTTCAAGTTAACATATTCCCTAATTTTTGCTACTTGCTCAGTTTAGCTGTTCCTCATCATAGGAAGGAACAAGTATCTGAACAAGTAGAGAACAGCTCTAAGCAGTGGAAGCCTTGGGTGGTCATTTTGGCTATATCTCTTTTTTAGGTTTGTCCAGTTATTTAATCTCTTTGAGATATGGATCCCGTAGTTCTAACATGAGTGGAATATTTGGTCCTGTGAGTAAGCCATGGAGGTGAAATAAATTAATACTGGCTAAAGTGCTTTATAAATTGTAAAATGCCATATAGAGCAGTATTATTACTTGTTATACACACATGCACACATTTTATGGTTTTTTTTTTTTTTTTGACAGGCAGAGTGGACAGAGAGAGAGACAGAGAGAAAGGTCTTCCTTTTGCCGTTGGTTCACCCTCCAATGGCTGCCGCGGCTGGCGCGCTGCGGCCGGCGCACCGCGCTGATCCGATGGCAGGAGCCAGGTGCTTCTCCTGGTCTCCCATGGGGTGCAGGGCCCAAGCACTTGGGCCATCCTCCACTGCACTCCCTGGCCATAGCAGAGAGCTGGCCTGGAAGAGGGGCAACCGGGACAGAATCTGGCGCTCTGACCGGGACTAGAACCTGGTGTGCTGGCGCCGCAAGGCGGAGGATTAGCCTAGTGAGCCGTGGTGCCGGCCCACATTTTATGTTTACATCTGTAATAATTGGTATTTTGTTTTCAACAAGACAATAAGCTCTATGTGGGTAGAAGCTATGACATTCTCAACACTTTTTTACTCTATTAAGTACAGGGATGTGAACTCAATAAATGCTTATTAAATCTAAAATTAAATTTGGCTAGGACTTCCTTACCAATGAGTCTTCTTGAATGTAATGCCTAGATGAATCTTTTAATTTGCTTCATGTCTCTTGTTTTCTCTATCCAAGGACCATTTCAAACCCCAAATATGACTAGAACTGAAAAAAAGATTAAGGTTATATTTTATCTTATATCTGTATAATTATTTTGACTGACTTTAAAATTTTTGATTTTGCTGGTCTTGATTCAGGGCACAAGCTATAGCAATTGGACAAGCAATGGTTGATGGACGTTGGCTAGATTGTGTTAGTCATCACGACCAGCTTTTCAGGGATGAGTATGCACTATACAGACCACTGCAGGTAATTTTTAGTGTTTACTTCAAATGATATTATGATAAGCTTGTTTTTTTTTTTTTTTAAGATTTATTTTATTTATTTGAAAGTCAGAGTTACAGAGAGAGGTCAGAGAGAGGTAGAGACAGAAAGAGGTCTTCCATCCACTGGTTCACTCCCCTTCCCAGATGGATGCAATGGCCGGAGCTGTGCTGATCTGAAGCCAGGAGTCGTGAGCTTCCTCCAGGTCTCTCATGCAGGTGCAGGGGCCCAAGGACTTGCCATCTTCTACTGCTATTCCAGGCCATAGCAGAGAGCTGGATCAGAAGTGGAGCATCCGGGACTTGAACCGGTGCCCATATGGGATGCTGGCACTGCAGACTGGGGCTTTAACTCACTGCACCTCAGCGCCAGCCCCTATAGTGTTTTTGTTGCTTGTCATTTAATATTAATGGTATTCAGCTTTACTGCTTTTACAACTAAGGAAGTGTACACATTAAACTGAAAAATTTAAATTATGTATTGAGATAGATTTGGACTCCTTAGCACTATTAAATTGTATACAATGATAAAATGAGGAATTTTTTTTAAACTTAGGAAAGTGGAAAATTTTTTATAAAGATTTATCTTTTATTTATTTGAAAGGCAGAGTTCTAGAGAAAGAGGAGGAGGAGGGAGGGAGGGAGGGAGAGAGAGAGAGAGAAAGAAAGAAAAAGAGAGAGAGAGAGAGAGAGAGTGCGATTGATCTACTTTCCATCTACTGGTTAACTCCTCGGATGGCCACAACAGCCAGGCTTGGACCATACCATAGCCAGGAGCCTGGGAGCTTCTTCCAGATCTCCCATGTGGTTGCAGGGGCTCAAACACTTGGGCCATCTTTTGCTGCTTTCCCAGGTGCATTAGCAGGCAGCTGGATAGGAAGTGGAGCAGTAAGTCTCGAACCGTTGCCCATGTGGGATGCTGGCAGTGCAGGCAGAAGTTTAACCTGCTACACTGCAGTGCCGACCCCAGGAAAGTGGAAATTTTTTTAAAGTTGAACTTTTAGGAAAAAGATATACTTCCCTTTCAGTTTATGTTAATATATATAATGTTTAATAACACCTTTGTGAATTAAAATTGAAAACCCAATAGTTAGAAAAGATGACTAACCCCAAAGACTGGTGTGTTTATGATTTGTTAAAACCTAACAGTCATTTTCCAGGGTGTGTCCTAGAGTTAGTGCAAAGTTCTATGCTGTCTTTATTCTCAGAACAAAAAGTGAAATGAAACACTGTGAAAACTCTATCAAAGAAATATTTTGTTCATAATATGCTTCTTAAGCCTTCTAGTTAATGAAAACTAGAGGTTTAAGAGTATAATTGTCATTATGATATTGTTTTGTTTAAGTTTTAATTTTATTTTTATATATAAATTTATTCAGTTGCTAGATTTATAGAAATATTGGGCTGTAATTGATTTATAGTATGACAGCCTCAACACTGTTAGCATGAGGGTCAATTCCTCAGATCCTGTCTTGATCCTTTCAGAGTACAGAATTTTCTGAGACACCTTCCCCTGACAGTGACTCCGTGCATTCTGTGGAGGGACACTCTGAGCCATCCTGGTTTAAAGACATCAAGTTTGATGACAGCGACACAGAACAGATAGCTGAAGAAGGTGACGATAATTTGGCTAGTGAGTTTAACTTTCTAACATTTAGTTTTTATGGTTTGTTTTCTGTGTGTGATTACATGTCTTGTTTGTTTTAAGTTGAAACAATTCACTTTACGAATTATGAGTCCAACCAAATATAAACATCTGATAGCAATCCTTGTCTTAGATACAGTATTTTCTTAAGAAAACAACTTGTTAGACAACTGATTTTACCATAGTCTGTAGTTGTAGCAGCTTAAAAATAACTTGAGCTAATAATACTGCAGCGGACAACTTTCTCACCTTTTCACTATGAAATCAGACTTTCTCTCTGCAGAACCTCCAGTATATTTCTTCATTTAAAAAATCAACTTTACATTTAACTTGTTCAAATTTATTAAGTCTACACAGAAGTACATGAAAATACTGTATCCATTTTGGTATTGCACATTGGGCTTGTATATTAAAAAAACATTTTTCTCCTTTGCTCCAATACCCTGATAAAATCCATTTTTACTCCCCTCCTCTCCCTATATTTCTTTCCCCTCCCCAATACTAAAAGATTCTGCCAGTCCTAGCAAGCGCACCTCAGTCAGCAGTTTCCAGTCCACAGTGGACAGTGACTCAGCCGCTTCCATCAGCCTGAACGTGGAGCTGGACAACGTGAACTTCCATATCAAGAAGCCCTCCAAGTACCCACATGTGCCCCCTCACCCTGCTGACCAAAAAGGTAGGAGGTAGTCACCATCTGGAATCCAAACAGGCTGGAGAGCGGGGCCGTAGGATCTCATGCCGGCCTATCCTCTGGTTTCCTCTGTCCCATGTGGCTGAGGGGATTTGGTGTGGGTCTTGTTCCACCCTTTCTCGTTTCCCCAAACCTCCTCCCCATACCTTTTTTGGTTGATTCCTTTTATTTCTTGTTTTCTCCCTCCGTACCACCATGCCCAGTTTACAGCTTGTAGCCTTTAAAAGGAACTACATCTGACTGCTGTTCCCATAATGTGCAACTTCCAAGGTGGCAATTCTTTGCATTTATAATATGGATGTTCTGCTCTATTCTTTTCTCTTTCTTCATTTAACATTTTAAAGCCTGTTTGCCTTTGCTGTTAGGCAGTAATGTGGTATTTCACTAAACCTATTCAGATGCTTGGACTAGTTGGGGGGGAACCATTCACATATTCCAAAATAGCTTTCTACTATAATTTAAAATGCTTGTTATGTATATGCTGCATTTGTAACAGAACATTTCTTCTGTAATTAATAAAAAATGGATTCAATCTTTATTTATAGCTGTGTTACTTGATGGTTTAGTCTGCCGATTCAATGATAATAATCGCTATATTTGAAAGACATTTGGTGGCCGGCGCCGCGGCTCACTAGGCTAATCCTCCGCCTAGCGGCGCCGGCACACCGGGTTCTAGTCCCGGTCGGGGCGCCGGATTCTGTCCCGGTTGCCCCTCTTCCAGGCCAGCCCTCTGCTGTGGCCAGGGAGTGCAGTGGAGGATGGCCCAGGTGCTTGGGCCCTGCACCCCATGGGAGACCAGGAAAAAGCACCTGGCTCCTGGCTCCTGCCATCGGATCAGCGCGGTGCGCCGGCCGCAGCGCGCCGGCCGCGGCGGCCATTGGAGGGTGAACCAACGGCAACGGAAGACCTTTCTCTCTGTCTCTCTCTCTCACTGTCCACTCTGCCTGTCAAAAAAAAAAAAAAAAAAAAAAAAAAAAAAAAAAAAAGAAAGACATTTGGTGTAAAAGGAAATATTAGGTAAAGCATTACTAAGTCTAACGTAATTCAGCACAGAAGAGATGAAATGCCTTCTAAAAATGGATGGTAATGTTTACTTTATTGCATGTATTTAAAAGCCAGTTTAATTATAGCCCTAATGTGTGATAATATAAAGATAAATAAAAAACACATGAATATAATTAGTGAAGCACTTTGTTACAGAGTTTCATCTAGAATTTGTTTTAAGCATTTTGCTATCTAAAGTTGAATTATCCCTCGCTTATATCTGAAATGCTTGACTAATTCTTTGCTACTATCTGTTTTGAACCTAAAAATATAATAAAAAAGAGAAGTGAACCTTAATGGCTATTCTAAAGGTATTTGAAGCAAATTAATATTTCCATATTAAATTTCTCATACTTGTTCATATAGCCATTATCAAGATGAAGTAAATTGGCACTTCAGAGTTAAACTATTGAAAAGGTATACTTGTTTAGAAATAAGAAATTTAGAGGGTGAACCAACGGTAAAGGAAGACCTTTCTTTCTGTCTCTCTCTCTCACTGTTCACTCTGCCTTTCAAAAAAAAGAAAAAAAAAAGAAATAAGAAATTTAGAGAGAATATGGGAAAGGAGGAGACTTGACTAGCATCGAACATGAATAAGGTGCACATTTTTTTCTGAAGAGCCTCAAAACAGAAATTAGAAAACTGATAGAGAACATTGGGTGAGTATGGAAATGTAGTGAAACACATATTTGTGTGAGGATTAATTTTAGACTGTAGTCAGAGGAAGGGTATTGTGATGGTACTTTTGCATATCATTTACAGGTGTGGGCCAGAGGCAGGATGTTTCTTGAGAGAACATTTGTCCTCTGGACACAGTTTGGCAGTTTCATTTTGCTAAAAGCAAAGTGTGAAATATGTGTGTGGTTTGCTGATAATTTCAGCTCTTGGAAAGTTAAGGAAGGTTTGAAAATTTTGAAGAAAATCACCTGTCATCATAGAATTGTTAATAGCAAAGGATGGACTGTTGGAAATAATCAGACATTTCCTTTAGGAATCCTAACTGCAGAATATTAGGAGAATAGCACAGGAGACTCCAATAGTGACACTGAATTTCTATTTTATTTGAGAGGGATGGAACAGGAGAGAGGGATAGAGAGACAGAGACTCCAATTTACTGGTTCACTCCCCACATGTCTACTACAGCCAGTATGGGGCCAATTCCAAGAGCAGTAACTCAATCCAGGTATCTCATTTGGGTAGCAGGACCCCAGTTACTTGAACTGTCACTGCGGCTTCCCAGGAACAGCGTTAATGGGAAGCTGAGATTAGCAGCTGGAGCTGGGAATTGAATTCAGGCACTCTGATGTGCGAGATGGGTGTCCTAATCACTAGTCTAAGTGCCGCTCCTCCCAGTAATGACGTTTTTATAGTGTGAACTCAACTTGTACATCTAAGGAAACACATGCAGTTGAAAAAAACCATGATGATTCCACTGGAACTTTTCTTAAACCTTTAAAGAAGTTGTATGATGAAGAACCTGAAACAGAGGTACACACTTTTAAAGAAAATGACAGGATAATGGAAGTTCAGATTACACTGATGATTGCAGAAAATGCCAAGGATATCTGAGAAAAGATTGTAATTGCAATAGAAAAATTAGGCAAGTTGTTTAGGGAAGTCAGTGTAAAACTGATGTCTGAAAGAAGCTTTTCTTTTTCTCTGTCAGGTTTAATCTTATCAGAAAAGAATGCACATGGTTAGAGGAAAGTGACATTGAAGATAAAGAAAGCAAACAATATCTGATTATTCTAAATAAGCCTATTGCCAGGTTTAGGCAAACCATCTGCCAGATTGTTAAAAGAATTTGGATCTGTGAGAATGAAGCCTGAGTTTGCTGCCTTTGGAAAATTGTGAAGGGGAAGAAAGATTCTACATGACTAGGGTGATGAATTCATTACCTTTTTAAAAAAGATTTATTAATTTGAAAGAGTTACACAGAGAGAGGAAGAGACAGAGAGAGAGAAGGAGATCTTCCTCTGCTGGTTCACTCCTAAAATGGCTGCAAGATCTGAGGCTGAGTCAGGAGCTTCTTCTGAATCTCCCCTCCATCTTTCCAGGCCACTGCCAGGGAGCTGGATTGAAAGTGAGCAGCCAGGTCTTGAACTGGTACCCACATAGGATGCCGGCATTGTAAGCAGTGGCTTAACCTGTTGTGCCACATGCTAGTCCTCATTAAATTGTTTAAAAATATGATTTCTTGATGTGATATTGGAAGCTGATAAAACTGTAAAGTTCAATAAATAAAATATACCATGGATTTTAGAAAATGGATTGGTGATGACTGTGTACTTGATTAGCTATAACAACCTCATTTTTATCTTTTATGATGTTATGAAGTTGGTAGATTAGGAGAATAATAGCTAATATTTTCTTTGGTGCTAATAATAAGTACAGGCCCTGAATTCATATGACCTTTTTGAAATTGTAAATTGACAAGTCATATTTATGGGATAAAAAGTGAAGTATGGATGCAGTGGGATTATTAAACCAAGCTAATTAATACATCTAGCACCCCAGTTTTCATTATCTGGCTTTATTTGTGGCTGTCCAGAAATTTTTTTTTAAACATTTATTTGTTTCAGAGTCAGAGTTATGGGGGATTGGAGTGGGGTGGGTGGGTGCAGAGAGAGAGAGAAGGGGAAATCTTCTACCTACTAGTTCACTCCTCAGATAGCTGGGGCTGGGGCTGGGCCAGGCTAAAGCCAGGAACCAGGAGCTTCATCTGAGTCTCCGACCTGTGTGGTAGGGGCCCAAGGAATTGGGCCAACTTCTGCTGCTTTCCCAGGGAGCTGGATTGGAAACAGAGCAATCGGGACACAAAACAGCTCTCAAATGGGGTATGACATCACAGCCAGTGTCTTTATCTGATACATGACTACTCTGGCCCCCAAAATTCCAAGCAGTCTGTTTATCTTATCTGAACCTATAGACACTACTGCTATTTAAGCACTAGATAGTACTCTAAGTCAAGGTTGTCTGCGAGTCCACTGTTCCTGTATTGTTGCTGTGTTGCTTTCAGAGGATACTCCAAGCCAGATTTGCTGTAAAACTGCAGTTGGTAAGTTGCTTGGAATCAGCTGGGGCAATGTCTAAAAAAGGATAGTTCATCTCTAGAGGCCTCTTCCTAGGACTAGGATACACCCAGATGTCTTATCCTTTGTCTACCAATGCTACAACGTTAGCTCATACCCAGAACCTACAGCCCATCAAAATCAGCATAGCACAGGGTTAGGACCAAAACCATAGCTACTGCTGAGGTGTATGCATGGCCTGAGGCTGCTGCAGTGAGCTACAGGTGGTGCTGGTTGGCATCTAATTCCCTAAAACTGGGACTTTTGGACTCTGCTTGGCACCAGAGCAGATCTAGAGGCCTGTCCGTTCCACAGGCACTGGCCTGACTTCCATAGCTCTTATGAAGCTGTCTTGGTGTGTGAATAGCTATTCAAATTGATGCTTCTGTGGGGGAGATGATTGCAGACTGTCTTAGGCTCAACCTTGCTCCATCTGTCCTCACCTCAAATACTTACAAATTTTTGTGGTGAGAATTTTTGAAATTTACTCTGAGCAGTTTTGAAATACATAGCATACTGCTGTTACCTGCAGTCATTAGCCTGTGGTAACCACTGTTCTCTTTAGTAAGAACTTTTTTAAGTGAAAAACATAAAATTTGTTGAATGTAAGAGCTCAGTAATACCATTATTAGTATTGACATGTGGGCTTGTATCTTGTTTTAATAGTTGTGCAAAATATTGAAAGGATAATTAACACTTTGATATCAACAGAAAGTGAATGCTCCTAGGTTATGCTGTAGAGCTTTATCTCTATTCAATGTTGTTTAACACTTTGGTTTACATGTTATACATGTTCTTTAGATTCATAGTTGATTAAAGTCTAGAAAGAATGGCTAGCATGTTGGATAGCAGGATTGGAATTTAAAAAATTATATTGTCCTAATGCATTACATCCCATTGTTTTATATAGGACACCTATAAAGACTTAAATTCAGCAATAAAAATACCATTTATGATAAAATAAATGTCATTGAAATATTGGCAGAATTGAAGACTTAAGACTTAAGTAGTAGACTAACAAGGTGAAATTTGACAAAAATGTAATTAAGCTTAAAATTATTTAATTTACTAATCTTTCAAATTACTATTTTTTAAATTTTTAAATTTTTTTTAAAATTTTTTTTAATTTATTTTTATTTTTATTTTTTTTGACAGGCAGAGTGGACAGTGAGAGAGAGAAACAGAGAGAAAGGTCTTCCTTTTGCCGTTGGTTCACCCTCCGATGGCCGCCGCGGCCGGCGCGCTGCGGCCGGTGCACCGCGCTGATCCGATGGCAGGAGCCAGGAGCCAGGTGCTTTTCCTGGTCTCCCATGGGGTGCAGGGCCCAAGCACCTGGGCCATCCTCCACTGCACTCCCTGGCCACAGCAGAGAGCTGGCCTGGAAGAGGGGCAACCGGGACAGAATCCGGCGCCCCAACTGGGACTAGAACCTGGTGTGCTGGTGCCGCTAGGCGGAGGATTAGCCTAGTGAGCCGCGGCGCCGGCCTCAAATTATTATTTAATTTACAATTATTTAGTTTACTATTAGCACGCCAGAGAAAGCCATTCTTAGTCACTAATGAGGTAAAGACGCAAATTTTAGTATTATCTATGAATGTGATTTGGCAATAATAGATTTAATTTGAGAATATAATGTCTAGAATTAGAGTCCAGTGTAAAGTTTTGTGTTCAGTTCTGATTTATGAGTAGAGCTGGATTACCAAGATCCTGAGACATCTGAAAACTGCTGTTATAAGATGTAAGGAAGTTGAGCCTGTTTAAGGCAGAGAAAAGAAAGCTTGATGTTACCTTTAGTTATCTGAAGATTACCTAAAATAAATCATTTATTTTGTGTATGGCTGAAGGAAGAACTAAATTCAGTAGTTAGGAATAGATAACTTGTCATTGTTTCCGTTGTGCACTAGAACTGTCTAGGTTGTGTCTGAATATCTGCCTTGAAACATTATTTTTTTTTAAGATTTATTTATTTGAAAGAGTTATAGGAGGGAGGGAGGGAGGGAGAGAGAGAGAGAGAGAGAGAGAGAGAGATAGATCTCTTCTGTCTGCTGGGTCACTCCTCAAATAGCCACAAGTGCTGGGCCTTGATTAGGTAGAAGCCAGGAGCCAGGAACTCCATCCAGGTCTCCCAAGTGGGTGGCAAGGCCACTGAGGCCATCTTCCACTGCTTTGCGGGGTGCATTAGCAGGGTGCTAGATTAGAAAGACTTGGTAACTTCAGAGTTTCCTTTTATTTCTAAATGTGTGAAATGAAAAAAATCCAGATCTAGAATTTAAAGAATTATAAGTGTGAGGAATTCTTTAGCTTACTCAGTAGAACATCATAGAGGAGATTCTAACATCATAAGGGAGGTGATTACTCTTAGATCATTTGCAACTTTGAGAGTCTGTACTTTAAGAACTTAAAAAAAATCTGTTAATAACCGTAAATGACTGTTACAGTTCTCTGTACTTAGTTTTTACTAACAAGAATTACTCTTTTAAATTTTTATTGTGAAATTAAAATGTAATAGTTTATTCTGTTGACCCCAGGTTATGTTTGTAGTATTTAAGATGAACAGTGACTCTCACAGAAGTTAAGATGAACACTGATATCAGAAAATAAAGATTGCCAGGGTGACCTAAGAGTTATATGAAAGAATAATAGAATATTTCTGCCTTTGGTTTTCATTCCTTTTAAGTAAATACAAGTGGGAATTTTTACAAATCTTTCCTTTGAAATTATAGATAATTTCTTCTTCTTCTTTTTTTTTTAAGATTTATTTATTTTATTTGAAAGGCAGAGTTACATAGAGACAGAGAGAGGTCTCCCATCTGCTAGTTCACTCTCCAGATGACCGTCACAGCCGGAGCTGGGCCGATCTGAAGCCAGGTGCCAGGAGCTTCTTCTTGGTCTCCCATGTGGGTGCAGGGACCCAAGGACTTGGGCCATCTTCTGCTGCTTTCCCAGGCCATAGCTGAGAGCTGGATTGGATCGGAAGTGGAGCAGCTGGGACTGGACTCTGACCAGTGCCCATATGGGATGCTGGCACTGCAGGCAGTGGCTTTAGCCACTATGCCACAGTGCCGGCCTCTGTCTTCTGTTTTTTAAGGCTGAGGAAATTTAGATTTGAAGAATTGTGTGAAATATCTGCTCTTAAAAAACAAAACAAAACTGCTTTTTATCTCATTTAGGAATACCTCTTGTTTTTAAAAGCTTGTAAAATAGAGATGGTATGGTTTTCTGGCTTAATTTTTCACTGTTGGTCTTGGAGAGTTGTGTAATGAAGATATATTTTGTTATGTGTTGGCCAGCAGGATTTTGAGCATTCCTTGAAAAGCTAGAAGAGGAACCTAGAGAAGAAAGCCTCTAGCTATAGTTTCTTATGTGTAGAAAAGTGAGCTAGAGGAGCAAGTTAAATACATCTTGCAGAAATAGTCACATCCAGAATGTGGGGCACTCCACAGGACATTTGGCCTGGATTCTTAAAAAATTCATTATCATGAAAAGGAAAAAAGATAGGGGGTCTTTTTAGACTGAGAGAATGAAGTGGCATAACAACAAGATGCTGTTTATAAACTTGATTGGATTGAAGTTTGAGGGAAAAAGTAATTTCTTATACACTTTTTGGAGATAGTTGGATAAATTTGAATGTTGGCCAATTCTGTGCTACTAAGATATTGTCAGGGCCGGTGCTGTGGTGTAGTAGGATAAGCCTCCATCTGCAGCAGCAGCATCCCATATGGGCACCAGTTCGTGTCCCACTGCCCTTCTTCCAATCCAGCTCTCTGCTTATGGCCTGGGAAAGCGGCAGAGGATGGTCCAAGTGCTTGGGCCCCCGCACCCATGTGGGAGACCTGGAAGAAGTTCCTGGATCCTGGCTTCAGATCAGCCAGTTCTGGCAGTTGTGGCCATTAGGGGTGTGAACCAGCGGATGGAATATCTCTCCTCTGTCTCTTTGTCTGTAACTCCGCTTCTCAAATAAATGAATAAAATCTTTAAAAAAAAAAGACATTGTCATTTTGCTTAAGAATGTAAATTATATTGTGGCTGTAGAGAAGAATGCCTTTAGCTTTTGGAGATGCATGCTGAAATATTAGTAGATAAATGTCATGTTGTGCGTAACTACAAATAGGGGAAGAAAAGTATATCCAACTATATCTCATATATCCTGTATATATCTCATACATATACACATGAGGAAACAGGACATATATAACAAGTCCTTAGCACCTATTGCATTTGGGCAAATGACATATGGCATTTTCTGTATGTTTGAAGTTTTTCCATAGTAAACTGTTGGGGAAAATCTATCATTTAGGAATGTTATATATAGCTTTAATGTGAGAAGTAAGGCTTACAAAGAATAATAACATTAGTTGAACTAATAGGATTTAGCATTCTTCATTTCTGGGAGGGAAGAATAAAAATAAAGTTAACATCTGTATTGTCTACATTCTTAATTTTTTTGTATTTGGCATGATACACTTGAATTTCCTAAATATTTTTTTCTGCTTCTTGATTAAAAGGATGAGCATTCTGATTTATAGACATACTGACTTTATTTTATTTATTTGAGAAAGAGAGAGAGCTCCTGTTCACTGATTCATTCCTAATTGTTCTCAGTGGCCAGAACTGGACTGGGCTGAAGCCAGGAGACAGGAACTCAGTCCAGGTCTCACACATGAGCAGCAGGGATCCAGCTACTTGAGCCATCACTTGCTGTCTTCTCTGTCCTACATTGGAAGGAAGCTAGAATCAGGAGCTGGAGCCAGGGATGGAACCCAGTCTCTGACAGGGTACATGGGCATTTAAACTGGCATTTTAACTGCTAGGCCAAACATCTGTCCCCATACTGACTTTTAAAACCCATTTGTTTCTAAATGAATTTGGAAGAAATTTTGTGGAAATTCTCTACCTTAAAGAAGTTAAAATGCATTGTGGTTTAATTTGCATAGTAGAAAGAACCCCCCTTTTAGCTGTATTTGGTTACAGACCTAGAGAAAAGTTCATGGGGAAGTAGAAAGTAAGTTTCATTTGTAAGAAAAATATTTAATATTTTAAAAGCTCTCAGAATATATTCAGCAGTTATTTTCTAGCAAGAGTTTATATTGTTCAGTTATAATTTTTGAAAAATGAAAACTATTTCAAAACCAATAACAATTCTAATGAATTACATCTTTATTCATTGCCCATATCGCTTTTTGTGTTAATTTGCTCTATAGCTTATATTCTGAATTTAAAAAGAAAACCTCACATTGTTTTATCAGCTCATTTCTCTGTGAGCCATCCTGTGTATAGTTGAAGTCATTATTTGTTAAATGATGCAGTTGTACATGAGAAAAATAGTATAATCTTAGATGTGCAAATTTCTGGAGAACTCAACTTTCATAAACCAGTTTAGTTTTGATCTGTTAAAAGTTTTTAAACATTCAGTGTAAGGTGCGCTGTTTCACGGTTCTGTTGAGGTAATAACTCAAGTCTTAAGTTTAGTGTGAAGTATGTAGAGCAAATATAAAGAGACCTTTTAGCCTAAAACTTCCTTGAATTTACTGGGCAGTGATGGGTTTATATGACTAATACTTTGTGTGTGGGTGTGTTTTCTGTATAATTATGCTGGCATCTTAGTCATATGTCTCTCCTTTCCTTCCTCCTCTCTGTTCTCTCCCTGGTATGCAGAGTATTTGATTGCTGACACTGGAGGACAACAGCTCTCAATAAGTGATGCCTTCATCAAAGGTAATTTTATCAACCATGTCTCTTTTGTTCATGAGGAGATATTTATGACCTTCTACGTTGATAGAACAGAAAAGGTACTGAAAACACACTTGATTATTTTACTATCATGAGAACAGTTTTAATATGTATAGTGACTTTGATACTGTTGAGAATCAGGAATATCAGACTTAGCTTGAGAGGAGGTTTCTGATGTGAAAACTAATTGTTTAAGATATATTATAAAGATCATTTAAAGGCATAAATAGCTCATACTTATGTATATTATGAATATTAAGTTGAGTATTTAAGTATTATTTAATATTATACTAATACTACATTAATATTATTAAAGTAATATATAATTCTTAATGTTACTTTTTAAAAAAGATTTATTTTATTTATTGGAAAGGCAGAGTTACAGAGAGAGAGAGGTATATATATATATATATAGAGAGAGAGAGAGAGAGATCTTCCATCTGTTGTTCACTCCCCAAAAGGCTGCAATGGTCAGGGCTGTGCCAGGCTGAAGCCAGGAGCCAGGAGCTTCCTTTGAGTCTCCTACGAGGGTGCAGGGCCCCAAGGAGTTAGGCCTTCTTCTCCTGCTTTCCCAGATGCATTAGCAGAGAGCTGGATCAGAAGAGGAGCATCTGAGACTTGAACCTGTGCCCATATGGGGTACCACATCTCAGGCGGTGACTGAACCTGTTATTCCACAATGCTTGCCCCATTAAGTAAGGTTGATATGCATATGCTTAAGGAGTATCGAAAAAAAGCTCACAGGCAGTTCTCATTCAGCTGAGGATATTGCTTGCCTTTCTAGAGTTGGAAAGAGAAGTAGGCAAAAGGGGATGAAGAACTAACTCTGCTAATCCATTTCTGTGGGGCAAGCATATAGACAAATACAAGCTTTTCTTATTCCATCACTATGTAGCTTACTGTGGAGTGAAGGCATCCTGAGTGGTCCATAACACTCCACAGCTTAGGCCTCAGATGATTAGAAAAAGTTTCCTTTCTGTTGTCTTTTCTTGGCTCTAGGGTTTCAAGTAAAAGTGAAGGTATGGCAGACTGGTTCGGGGAGTCCACTTGGAGCTGATTGACAGTGCTTCTAAATTTACATCCAATTATCTTGTTTAACCAAAAGTTTATAGATTGGTTGTTTACATAATTTAAATGCACAGTTCTTGAACCTTACAAGTAAAGGACACACTTTTTACAATATTATCTGTTTGACAGTTTGTTTAGTAGGAATTTTTGTTTGTTTTACTTTAAGAAGGGAAGGGATAGAGAAGTTTTGTGAGCATTTCCTATCTTCATTCTTTCCACTTATTCAGGCATGCTCAATAGTCATGTAGTGAGTATCATTTTTTTGCAAAACATTTATTGTCTTGACCTATTTTTACTCCTTTAAAAGATTTTATAGAAATTGTCATCTTTTATGATTTCTTTATAGTTTGATCTATCTTGATAAAATTTTGTTAATCAGCTTTTGTGCTAATATTGAAAAAAAAAGCACTGCTAAGGTTTTTCTGAATAGACTTTCAACACCATCAGCTGCTGTTTCACAGTATCTGAGCTGAGCTTCTCTCTTCAGCACCCACTCTATCACTTGTTGTTCTGCCAGCATTCAGATTTCTGTGAACGCAGTGTTCAGTTTGTGATTTTCTTTTTTGTGTTCTAAAAACTAAAAGGAGAGTACAGAAATCTTACTTTGCTTGCTTTTCAGAAGCTGTGTTTATATCATCAGCTTGAAAGCCTTAGTTACTTCTGTAAACTTTCTCTGTGCACTTCTGATTACTGCTATTCTTAGTCCTTTTATTTTTTATACGTGTAAATATTTATGTATTCATGTATTATTGTATTATTACATACTTTATGTACTTATGAAATTATGTGTTCTTGTCTTTTTATACTAACAATTTATATTGGTCAACTTGAAAGAATTTAAAAAGAGAAATTGGTGATTTCTAAATATATGAATAGATAGTATATAACATAATGAAGTAATAATTCCTTATTTTCTCCTTAGAGTCCTTATTTAATCGTCGGGTAGAGGAGAAATCCAAAGAGCTGCCTTTCACCCCTTTGGGTTGGCATCATAACAACCTGGAGCTCCTGCGGGAGGAGAATGGGGAAAAACAAGCCATGGAGAGGTTGCTGTAAGGCAGTGAGCTTTTTTTTTTACTTTTAATTTTCCATTTTTATAATCTTCAGTGACTTGGTTAGGGTATGCCTATTCTCCTTCCTTATGAAGTATGAAATACTAAAAATACTTAGGAAATGAAGTCTATTCTGCTTTATGATGAAATTTCTTACAAAATTAAGAGTCCCAAATTGTTTTTATCTGTCTCCCTTGTAACTGGTGGGTTAATTTCATTTCCGCAAATTAAAGGATATATCTTAGTTGAATATATTCACAGATTTAATTTCTATGCAAAATCATTCAGGTGCAACTATACTAAAAGAAAAAAACTAACCTTGAAGACTTTTTCTGTGAACCACAATTGAAATGCTTATTTCTTTGTAGACTGCATGTTGTGTGTTCAGAAGTCTGGTGGTGTTGACTATGCAGACTTTTTTCTTCTAATGTTTTTGCAGTTCAGCTAATCATAATCACATGATGGCACTACTCCAGCAGTTGCTCCACAGTGAATCATTGTCACCATCTTGGAGGGACATCATTGTGTCACTTGTCCGCCAGGTTGTTCAGACAGTCCGACCTGATGTCAAGAACCAGGATGATGACATGGATATCCGTCAGTTTGTCCACATCAAAAAGGTGAGCTCTGCTAAGTCTTCCCGTGCTAGAAACTGCTGAGTCAGGTCTGATAGTAGGTAGACTCCTAATGGTAATCTAAACTGTCCTTACCCTGAGGGGTGCTAGGTGAGAAGTGGGTGATTTTGCTTCTGCTCCATAGGCAGTGCATTTAGGGATCATGGACATCTCTTACAGGAAGTGAGAGTTAATGGAAAGGTTGTGTGGGCTGGTGGATGAGTTGGGAACCCAAACAAATATAATTTTTCCCTCTCGTTTCCTCTTTTTGGAATTCAGCTATGAGAAAGCCTGTTACCACAGGTTACTATCACTGTTCTGAGGAAAAGAGTGAGTAATTGCTTTATTTAGATAGTAATGGAAGCTGTATGTATTTCCACCTATGAAGATCTTGAACAATTGTTTTTTTTTTTTAAAGATTTACTTATTTGAGAGGTAGAGTTAAAGACAGAGGGTGACACAGAGAGAAAGGTCTTCTATTCACTGGTTTACTCCCCAAATGGCTGCAACAGCCGGAGCTGGGCCAATCCAAAGCCAGGAGCCAGGAGCTTCTTCCAGATCTCCCACATGAGTGCCGGAGCTCGCAGTTGGGCCATCTTCCACTGCTTTCCCAGGCCATAGCAGAGAGCTGGATCAGAAGGGGAGCAGCTAAGACATGAACCAGTGTCCAGATGGGATGCTGGCACCGTGGGTGGAGGCTTAGCGTACTTCGCCACAGCACTGGCCCAACAATTGTGGTTTTAATTGCCCTGTGATGCTCATTAATTCTGTCAGTATTTTGGAGTACTAGATAGTACATTTGAGAGTAGGGAGTGGGAAAACATGATCATGCTTAGATGCCAATAATCATTGGTTGAAAGGAAGAAATATATCCTAGAATTTTCTGTCCTTATTTGATGATATAACAGTTAAAATAAACAATGAAAATAAATTATCATTGATTTTATTGTTAATTATTCCATTAGATCCCAGGTGGAAAGAAGTTTGATTCTGTGGTTGTCAATGGCTTTGTTTGTACCAAGAACATCGCACATAAAAAGGTAATGTGATTCAGTTTAATGGTTAAGTTTATCAATCCATGGCTGCATTCTCAGATAACAATGAATAACCTTAATAGTGGAAGAAAAAGAGAATGAGCATTGAGGGGCATCCAGCAGTGTCTTCTCTAGGGGTGAAATTCTGGAAGTTCTGGGAAGGTCTCTGAGAGCTGATGATAAATGGATTGGAATTTGGATAATGGAAATTCACCATACAGGAAGAGGAAGGCATTGGTCAGGTTCTAGACCAGAAGAATTACAGGATACTGGTATCATTTCTCCCTTGAAGCTGCTACACTTCAGGGAGACGGGGCTTCTCTACTAGACTGGAGTCCTTCTAGAGGGTTAGCATTCTAAAACTGTTCTCCCTTCTAGGGATGAGCTACAGAACTATCAGTGTTATTATGTTATTCTTCTCACTTTATATTTCTACTTTCAGGCTTGAGGCCTCTTTGTAGCACTAGCACAAAGGAAAGGGGGGAGCTAACTTGGCATGTTAAGGAAACCCTGAGCTTCTATGGTATAATATGGGAAATGGCAAGTGAGGCTGGAGGAAGCAGACAAGGTATTAGGATCACCATAAGGGTATTGAATTTTATTGTGAAGGCTTCTGATGCTCAAGGTATAGTGTGCATTAGGATCACCTGTGGACCTTGTTAAAGCCGGTTATTTCTATACTCAGCCCCTTGAAATTCTCACTCAGTAGGTTTAGGGGAGTGGTGGTTGGGGTGGGGGAGGGAATGGTAGTACTGAATTGAAAGTAAACCCTTACAGGTGTTTCTTATATTTGGCGAAACCATTGATCTATGGCAATGTTTGAAAACCTTGCTGTACATCAGAATCCCCAAGGGAACTTACTAAAGCCAGCGATACCTTGGCCCACCTCTGGTGATAATTGATTTTATTGCAGAGCTATGCCAGACTTTTAGTGTGTAAGTCACTAGATTGATGAACTGTAGTCCTGTTTTCACTCTTTTCTAAGTGGAGACTAATACAGTTGTCCCTGTATTTGACTATAGGACTTGCCTCAGATACCAAGATCCACAGATGCTCAAGTCTGTATATAAAATGGCATAGTATTTGTGTATAACCTATGCACATCCTCCTGTACACTTTAAACTATCTCTAGATTGCTTATAATACTTATGCAATGTAAGTGCTATGTGAATAATAGTTGTTATACTATATTGTTTAGGGAATAATGACAAAAAGTCAAGTCTATACATGGTTGATACAGACACAGTTTTTTTCTGAATATTTTCTATGTGTAATAGGTCGAATTCATGAATGTGGAACCCATGGATACAAAGGGCCAACTGTAATTTATTTTTTGTAAAGCCTTAAGCCTCCTGAAAATTGGTGTTGACCATAAAAGTGTACTTAGATTCAATATTATTTCATAACAGTCTCCAAGTCAGTATTTCCATCTAGAGTCTTACTAAAGTCTTTAAAGTAGTACTTTCAACCAAATTCAATATTTGTTGAGTTGAGGTAAATTGGTTGTGCTCTTCTTAGGAATTGAAAAGAATTGTACATGGATGTGATAGCAACACATGCATGGGTCTTTCCCTGTGGATAGTGTTTTGAGATAGTCTGAAGCCTTGATTGCAGGCCTCTGGCTATTCTGCCTGTGGTGTTAGATACCTGGTTTCTGCTTTTGAAGATGCTTTAAGGCTTTTTTTTTTTTTTTAATTACATGTTACCCAAAGAACATGCTGGCCAACTTAAAATTATTTGGACATTTGCTATATTAGAAACATATTCAGGAGGCATTTTGTTTTTTCCTCTTCTTTTGCCTTTGACTTTTGGAAAGACTAAAATATAATATGCTTTCAACTTTATGGATGTTTCAGAATTTGTGAAGTAGCCTATTTGTAAGCCTCATCTCCCCATCACCTTCACATTTGATATAACTTCCTACAAATTTAGAAATTAAAAAATTAGTTAAGCATATAGGGGAATAGGTTAACCAGGTACTAAGAAAAAAAAGTCAATGTTTGAAGGATTTTGCCTTCTGAACAAATTATTTGCTTTGAAAAATATAAGAATACCACAAAAGAACCAAAGGAGAGTATATTAATATTAATGAGATACTTTATTTTAGTAATTAGAATCATAAACAGTATTAAAGTTAAGATTAAAAGAGATCTATAAAGTGCAAACCCTTAGAAACTTTAATGAAGTGTTCATTTTTTTGTAGATGAATTCTTGTATTAAAAACCCCAAAATTCTTCTGTTGAAGTGTTCTATTGAATACCTCTACAGAGAAGAAACCAAGTTTACTTGCATTGATCCTATTGTGCTGCAGGTGAGGACTCATTACTGAAGGCTGCTTGTGTACTCTGATGCTTGCTCTTTACTTTGACTCATTCTGGTTTATTAAATTGCTGGACAAACACCATTGCTTTTGTTGTATTTTAAAAATCTATTGTAAAAGTCATTTTTGTATACTACCCTTTAGAACTAGTTTACCAAAACCTCTGTCACTCATTATTTTTTAAAGTTTCAAAGTAAGAAGAGAAACCCATGACTGTTGGGAACATACAAAAGAAAAAATGAAAACCCAAATACTGATATCCCCTTCCCACTTGGGCCCTTAATGTACTGGGCGAGTTTCGGTAACTTATTAGATCTCCAGTGGAATCTCCAATTGTTGTGTGGCTTATTTTGTTTAAATATATGTCTGGAACTCCAGTTAACTTATATGTAGATGGCAAATGTGGAATTAATATCAGGTGGAAATCATGTGAGTTTTCTCTAAGCAGCCGGGCCCGGGATAACTGCCATAGGAATGTAATACTCAGTTGGAAAGGAGATTAGCCTCAGCTGCTCCACAGCAGAAGCCCTTTCGGGTCTATTTTTTTTTTAAATTTTATTTAACAAATATAAATTTCCAAAGTACAGCTTATGGATTACAGTGCCTTGTTCCCCCCCATAATTTTCCTCCCACCCACAACCCTCTCATCTCCCGCTCCCTCTCCCATTCCATTTTCTTTCTTTTTTTCTTTTTGGACAGGCAGAGTGGACAGTGAGAGAGAGAGACAGAGAGAAAGGTTTTCCTTTTGCTGTTGGTTCACCCTCCAATGGCTGCCGCGGCCAGTGCGCTGCAGCCGGCGCATCACACTGATCCGATGGCAGGAGCCAGGTGCTTATCCTGGTCTCCCATGGGGTGCAGGGCCCAAGTACTTGGGCCATCCTCCACTGCACTCCCTGGCCATAGCAGAGAGCTGCCTGGAAGAGGGGCAACTGGGACAGAATCCGGCGCCCCGACCGGGACTAGAACCCGGTGTGCCGGCACTGCAAGGCGGAGGATTAGCCTATTGAGCCACAGCGCTGGCCAAGATTCATTTTCAATTATCTTTATATACAGAAGATCAATTTAGTATATATTAAGTAAAGATTTCATCAGTGTGCACCCACACAGAAACAGAAAATGTAAATTACTGTTAGAGTACTAGTTACAGCATTAATTCACATTGTTCAACACATTAAGGACAGAGATCCTACATGAGGAATAAGTGCACAGTGGCTCCTGTTGTCGACTTAACAAATTGACACCTTGGCACGTTTCTAACTCTACCATTTGGGGCAAGTCCTATTGAGCATGTCACAAATTGTACATCTCCACCCTCTCTTATTCCCACTCTTATATTTAACAGGGATCACTCTTCAGTTAAATTTAAACACCTAAGAATAATTGTGTGTTAATTACAGAGTTCAACCAATAGTATCAACTAGAACAAAAAAAATACTAAAAGGGATAAAGTATTAAGTTGTTAATCAGCATTCAGGACAAGGGCTGATCCAGTCACTGTTTTTCATAGTGTCCATTTCACTTCATCAGGTTTCCTTTTAGGTGCTCAGTTAATTGTCACTGATCAGGGAGAACATATGATATTTGTCCCTCTGGGACTGGCTTATTTCACTCAGCATGATGTTATCCAGATTCCTCCATTTTGTTGCAAATGACTGGATTTCATTCTTTTTGAATGCTGTATAGTATTCTATAGAGTATGTGTCCCATAATTTCTTTATCCAGTCTACTGTTTATGGGCATTTAGGTTGATTCCAGGTCTTAGCTATTGTGAATTGAGCTGTAATAAACATTATGGTGCAGACAGCTGTTTTATTTGCCAATTTCATTTCCTTTGGGTAAATTCCAAGGAGTGGGATGGCTGGGTTGTATGGTAGGGTTATATTCAGGTTTCTGAGGAATCTCCAGACTGACTTTCACAGTAGCTTGACCAGTTTGCATTCCCACCAACAGTGGGTTAGTGTCCCTTTTTCCCCACATCCTCTCCAGCATCTATTGTTGGTAGATTTCTGAATGTGAGCCATTCTAACCGGGGTGAGGTGAAACCTCATTGTGGTTTTGATTTGCATTTCCCTGATGGCTAGTGATCTTGAACATTTTTTCATGTGTCTGTTGGCTATTTGGATTTCCTCCTTTGAAAAATGTCTATTGAGGTCCTTGGCCCATCTCTAAGTGGGTTGTTTGATTTGTTGTTGTGGAGTTTCTTGATCTCTTTATAGATTCTGTTTATTAACCCTTTATCTGTTGCATAGTTTGCAAATACTTTTTCCCAGTCTGTCCGTTGTCTCTTCACTTTCCTGACTGTTTCTTTTGCAGTACAGAAACTTCTCAATTTGATGCAATCCCAATTGTTAATTTTGATTTTGACTGCCTGTGCCTCTGGGGTCTTTTCCAAGAAGTCTTTGCCTGTGCCTGTATCTTGCAGTGTTTCTCCAATGTTCTCTAATAATTTGATGGTGTCGGGTCATAGATTTAGATCTCTAATCCATGTTGAGTGGATTTTTGTGTAAGGTGAAAGGTAGTGGTCTTGCTTCATGCTTCTGCACGTGGAAATCCAGTTTTCCCAGCACCATTTATTGAATAGACTGTCCTTGCTCCAGGAATTGGTTTTAGATCCTTGATCAAATATAAGTTGGCTGTAGATGTTTGGGTTGATTTCTGGTGTTCTGTTCCATTGGTCTATCCATCTGTTTCTGTACCAGTACCATGCTGTTTTGATTACAACTGCCCTGTAGTATGTTTTGAAATCTGGTATTGTGATGCCTCTGGCTTTGTTTTTGTTGTACAAGATTGCTTTAGCTATTCGATGTCTCCTGTGTCTTCATATGAATTTTAGCATCATCTTTTCTAGATCTGAGAAGAATGTCTTTGGTATTTTGATTCGTGTCACATTGAGTCTGTAAATTGCTTTTGGGAGAATGGATATTTTGATGATATTGATTCTTCTAATACTTGAGCATGGAAGATTTTTCCATTTTTTGGTATCCTCTTCTATTTCTTTGTTTAAGATTTTGTAATTCTCATCGTAGATACTTTTTTTTTTTTTTTTTTTGGACAGGCAGAGTGGATAGTGAGAGAGAGAGAGAGAAAGGTCTTCCTTTGCCATTGGTTCACCCTCCAATGGCCGCCGCGGCTGGCGCACCGCGCTGATCCGATGGCAGGAGCCAGGTACTTATCCTGGTCTCCCATGGGGTGCAGGGCCCAAGGACTTGGGCCATCCTCCACTGCACTCCCGGGCCACAGCAGAGAGCTGGCCTGGAAGAGGGGCAACTGGGACAGAATCTGGCACCCCGACCAGGACTAGAACCCAGTGTGCGGCGCCGCAAGGCGGAGGATTAGCCTAGTGAGCCGTGGCGCCGGCCTCATCGTAGAGATATTTAATGTCCTTGGTTAAGTTTATTCCAAGTTATTTGGTTGTTTTTGTAGGTATGTTAATGGATTGATCTTAGAAGTTCTTTCTCAGCCATGGCATTGCCTGTGTATACAAAGGCTGTTGATTTTTGTGCATTGATTTTATATCCTGCTACTTTGGCAAACTCTTCCAATAGTCTCTTAGTAGAGTTCTTTGGATCCCCTAAATAAAGATCATATCATCTGCAAAGAGGGATAGTTTGACATCTTCCTTCCCAATTTGTATTCCTTTAATTTCTTTCTCTTGCCTGATCGTTCTGGCTAAGACTTCCAGAACTATATTAAATAGCAGTGGTGAGAGTGAGCATCCCTATCTGGTACCAGATCTCAGTGGAAATCCTTCCAGCTTTTCCCCTTTCAATAGGATGCTGGTGTGGGTTTTTCATAAACTGCTTTGATTGTATTGAGGAATGTTCTTCTATACCCAATTTGCTTAGAGTTTTCATCATGAAAGGGTGTTGAATTTTATCAAATGCTTCCTCTGCATCTATTGAGATAATCATAGTTTTTCTTCTGCAGTCTGTTAATGAGGTGTATCACATTGATTGATTTGCGAACATTGAACCATTCCTGCATGCCAGGGATAAATTCCACTTGGTCTTGGTGGATGATCTCTCTGATGTGTTGTTGTATTCTATTGGTGAGAATTGTATTGGGAATTTTTGCATCTATGTTCATCAGGGATATTGGTCTGTAATTTTCTTTCAATGCTGCATCTTTCTCTGGCTTAGGGATCAAGGTGATGCTGGCTTCATAGAAAGAATTTGGGAGGATTCCATCTTTTTCGATTGTTCTGAATAGTTTGAGGAGAATTGGAGTTAGTTCTTCTTTAAATGTCTGGTAGAATTCAGCAGTGACTCCATCTGGTCCTGGATTTTCTTTGTTGGGAGGGCCTTTATTGCTGTTTCAATTTCTGTCTCAGTTATGGTTCTGTTTAGGTTTTCTGTGTTTTCCTAGTTCAATTTAGGTAGGTTGCATGTGTCCAGGAATCTATCCATTTCTGATAGATTTCCCTGTTTGCTGGCATACAACTCCTTGTAGTAATTTCTGATGATTCTTTTTATTTCTGTGGTGTCTGTTGTTATGTTTCCTTTTTCATCTCTGATTTTATTGATTTGGGTCTTTTCTTTTTTTAGTTAGTTGGGCCAGTGGTGTTTCAGTTTTGTTTATTTTTTCAAAAAACCAGGTTCTTGTTTTGCTGATTTTTTGTAATTTGTTTTGGATATAAGGATATAATATTCTGAGCTGGCAGTTTTTCTCTCTTAGTACCTGGATTATATGTCACCATTTCCTCCTAGCCTGTATGGTTTCTGATAAGTGTGCTGTGAGTCTAATTGGAGATCCTCTGAGAGTAATCTGATGTTTCTCTCTTGCACATTTTAGAATCTTTTCTTTGTGTTTCACTGTGGTGAGTTTGATTACAATGTGTCGTGGTGAGGATCTCTTTTGGTTGTGTTTATTAGGGGTTCTATGAGCTTCCTGTTCTAGGATGTCTCTGTCCTTCTCCAAACCCGGGAAGTTCTCTGCTAGTATCTCACGAAAAAGGCCTTCTAATCTTTTCTCTCTCTCCATGCCTTCAGGAACTCCTAGAACCCGAATGTTGGGTTTTCTAATAGTACCCTGTAGATTCCCAGGAATATTTTTTAGATTTCTAATTTCCTCTTATTTTCTTTGTATACTTTCCTGTGCTCTGTCTTCTAAGTCCAATATTCTCTCTTCTGCTTCACTGACTTTGTTTTTAAGGCTCTCTAATGTGTTTGTCATTTGATTTATTGAGTTCTTCATTTCATTTTGATTTCTCTTCACTATCATACTTTCCTGTTCTACTAATTTCTGTGTTTCATTTTGATTCCTCCTTAAGATTTCATTTTCACGAGAGAATTTTATATCCTGTCCTGTAAGGATTTCTGTAGCTCAAGCATTTGTTTTTGAAAACTTCTAAATGTTCTTATAAATTTTTTGAAACCTGTATCTTGCATTTCTTCTTTCTCATCATCTGTATAATCTGGGCTTGGGGTGTCTTGTTAATTTGGGGGTTTCATAATGTCTCCCTTGTTCTTGTTTCCTTGGTTTCTGCGTTTGTTGCTTGGCATTGTGGAGATATTCTTTGGAGTCTTCTTCCCTCGCTGTGGTGTTTTTTTTCTTGTTATACTATGACTGTATTAAGTGGACTGTCTGCTTTTGATGGAGCCTTAGGGGCTTGAGATGGGTGTGGCCTGAGAGCTATGTTTGGTTCCTCAGGGTTAAGGATGTGCCAAAGGTGACACTCCCAGGTTAGGCGTGGTAAACTTTCTCTCTCTCTCTCTCTCTCTCTCTCTCTTTCTCTTCTCTCTCTCTCTCTCTCTCCCCCTCTCTTCCTCCCTCCCTCCCTTCCTTCCTTCCTTCCTTCCTTCCTTCCTTCCTTCCTTCCTTCCTTCCTTCCTTCCTTCCTCTTTCTGATTCAGAAGAGAAGTAATTCCACACAGCTGAGCAGAATTGAAGGTAGTTAGCAGGCGAATGATATACCCACAGGAGCCAGAGATCGGAAGCTCTTTCCCAAGGACCACACAGGGAATCTGTACTGCCCTCAGTGTGGGCTCAAATTCTCCTGCCGTCTCCCCCTGGGTTGCCAAGGCTACCGAATTGTAGTGTCTTTGGAGAGTACTCACGTGAATTCCGTGAGAGTCAGGTTTTTCTGCTTGGCTGAGGGCGGGTGCATCCCTGAGGTCGAATCGCTTATGACGTATGTCCAAAATGGTGCCTGCTCTTTGTCTTGTTCACCTTTGAGAGGTGAGCGGAGAGAGAGAAACTTGTGTCCGTACCGGTCACTTTTTTTTTTTTTTCCCCTCTCTCTTCTAGTTAGCCTGGTGAACTTTTCCCCACAAGGGTTTCAAGCCTCGTTCCCTCTAGTCTCCTCTTTCCACTTTCCTGCTGGTGTCTTGGGCTATTGAGATTTGGCTCACTTCGCGTTCCAGCGCTGGTGTGTTGTTTCTGCCACTGGTGTCCTGAACCATGGGCTCCCACGCCCTCCACGCAGGTCTACTGTGAATCACTGCTTCCGGAAGAGTTTCCTCTGCTGTTTCTTCCCCTACTCTTCCTTGAACCTGCAGTATCTCCACTTTTATTAAGCTGTCTCTTCCTGGACTATCAGTGTGCTCCCTTCCTATTCCCCCATCATGCTGTTCTGCTTTTTTTTCATGGAAGGTATTTATTTCACCTTCATTCAGAAATAGAAAACTTTGCAAGGTACAGTATTCTGGGTTGACAGTTTTTTTCTCTTAAGATTTGGAATATATTTCTCCATTCTCTCATAGCTTGTAGGGGTTCTGATGAGATGTCTGCTGTGATTTTTTTTTTAAAGATTTATTTATTTGAAAGTCAGAGTTATGCATACAGAGAGAAGTCTTTCATCTGTTGGTTCACTCCCCAATTGGCTGCAATAGCTAGAGATGTGCTGATCTGAAGCCAGGAGCCAGGAGCTTCCTCTGGGTCCCCTACATGGGTACTGGAGCCTAAGGACTTGGGCCATCTTTTACTGCTTTCCCAGGCCATTGCAGAGATCTGGGTGGGAAGTGGAGCAACCAGGACTCGAACCTGCGCCCATATGGGATGCCGGCACTATAGGTGGTAGCTTTAACCGCTATGCCACAGCACCAGCCCCTGCTGTGATTCTAATTGGAGATTCCCGAAAGTATTCTGGTGTTTCTCTCATGCACATGTTATAATATTTTCTTTATGTTTTACTGTGAAGAGTTTGACTACAGTGTGTCGTGGTTAAGATCTTTTTTGGTCATGTCTATTAGAAGTTCTATGTGCTTCCTGTACTTGGATGTCTTTTTCTTTCTCCAAATTATGGAAGTTTTCTGTAATTATTTCACTAAAAAGGACTTCTAATCCATTCTCTTTCCATGTCTTCAGGCATTCCTAAGACTTGTATATTGGGTCATTTGATAGTATCCCAATAATCTCCTGCACTGTTTTTAGCTTTCTAATTTCTCATTTTTTTTAAATCTTACTATAAAATTTCCAGAGATTTGTCTTCCAACTCAGTTATTCTTTCTTCTGCCTTGTCAAGTCTGTTCTTAAGGCTTTCCCTGTGTTTTTTGTTTGTTCTATTGAATTCTTCATTTTCAATATTTGTTTTGATTTCTCTTTAAAATCTTAATTTCTTGGGGAAAAATTTCATTCATGTAATGTACAGATTTGTTTAGTTCATGAATTTGCTTCTGATTACTTCTAGGTAATCCTAGGATCAATTTTTTGAATTCCATTTCCATTTCTGGCATTTCGTCGATCTCAACATCTTCACATTCTTGTATTGAAGTATTGTTTTCTTTGAGAGTGTCATGCTTTTTTCCTTTTCTTGTTTCTTGAATCGCTGAATTTATTATTAGCCATTTGCTGTGATACTTGCTTTTTTATTTTTTTTTTAATGCTGTGATAGCTTTTCTTTTTGTACTGTGCCTCTCTGGCTTAGTGGAGTGTCTGTTCTTCAGTGAATACCCAGAAGTGTGTGCTGGGTGTAGTCAGGGAGCTCTGCTCAATGCTCCAGGGTGAAGGGAATGTCCAAGGTGACACCCACATTGGGCATGATTAATCTTTTTTTTTATTTTTTATTTTTTCATCAGAGGGGAGGTTTGCTCTGCATTGTTGGTGTATTCTCATGCTCACCTCCTCTACTCAGAGAAAACTAATGCCTGGTCACCAGCCCAGGTGGATACAATTTTCATCTGCACTGCCACAAGAACAGCACAAAGGATCTGTGTTGTCCTGGATGTGAACACAGATCCTACAGCAGTGACCCTCACTAGGGAATCAGGGAGCCCCAAACATGTAGAGCTGCCTACAGTGACTGCTTAAAGTCCCTGCCACACCCTGTGACCCTCCCACGCAGCCAGCATTGTGGTCTCACCTCACTCCAAAGCTGGTGCTGAGGCTCTCAGCTGCCTTGGTCTCAAGCTGTGCAAGTCCACACCCTCCACGTAGGTCCACAGTGTCCCTCCCACCCCCAGTTTGCATGGAGTTTCCTCTGTTGTTTTCTCCCTAACCTTTCCCTAAGAGTGCACTCTGTCCACTTTTTTTTTTTTTTGTAACTATTCTCCCCTAGACTAGAGTAGTAAGCTCCTTCTCTATGCCACCATCTTGAAAAGCAATCTAATTATGTTTTATGTCTAGATGTTCTAACTGTTCTAGATGGAATATGGTCTCTTGGGAGATTGGGATTAGCAAGTAGCTGAAAAGCATCTTGTAGAGGGTTTTGATTTGTTCAGATAACCAGAAGAAGAGATTCACTGATTGATTTCAGAATGTAAAAGAGAGAATTCATAAACATAGTGAATTAATTTGCTTACATATTTATTTGTAAATGAGTAACACTGAGGCTGAGACTAATATTGATAGTTAAACTATTCTGATATTTTAATATGTTCAGATCTTGAATTGTATCAGGTATAATATTTCTGATTTATCTTACTTAGGAAAGAGAATTCCTGAAGAATTATGTTCAGCGAATAGTTGATGTTCGACCCACATTGGTTCTTGTTGAGAAGACAGTGTCTCGGATTGCCCAAGATATGTTACTGGAACATGGCATTACTTTGGTTATAAATGTAAAATCAGTGAGTATTTTTTATTTTTATACCATTTAAATTCACAGCTGATAGATTTGTATGATGTGTTGTGCATATACAGGATCCTTTATTTCTTTGTTGCATCATATATATTGAAAGTGGGAGAGAAGGAATGATAACTTTTTCATTATTTAAGATTGAAGACTTCCATATCAGAAGAAAGTATGTTTGATATAACCCCTAAATAGTTGTTTACATGACCAAAGTGAAAGTGGACATTAGTTAATCAGTAGATTTTTACTGATCCTTTATTTTTATTGGTAAATTGTAACAGAAGCAGAGAATATTCTGTCCCTTAAAAAAATTTGCCCTTTATAGATTGAAGACTTAATTATGGGGAGATTTTTTTTTTCTACAAAATTTTGTACTAATGCTTATTGCTTAAATGCTTCTTGATAATTTAATATGATTATGTTTTGTTTTAGTAGGCATATAGTGATAATTTAGCAATTAAGTGTAGATTAATCTAGAGTTCAAAAATTTTGTTCTGTAAGTATTAAAATTAAAGAATTCATTATGAGTTTCATTTTTTACCTTTTTCTGTTACTTTTTCAAATTAAATTTACTAAAATTTTTGTTCTCTAATTTTGTAATATGTTTCTCTGTATTGTAGCAAGTTTTAGAAAGAATCAGTCGGATGACCCAAGGTGATTTAGTAATGTCAATGGACCAGCTGCTTACGAAACCACATCTGGGCACTTGTCACAAATTTTATATGCAAATATTTCAGTTGCCTAATGGTGAGTAATCTTAGGAATAAATTCACTTGAGATGGGGAACTGAGGAAATGAGTTAGCTCTTCTGTGCTATGGTATTTACTTAGTAGGAAATGTTTAATAGGAGTGGTTAATTGAGAATGATAATTGATCTTATTCATGCAAGGATTCTTGTTTTGTTTATATTAAGATAGTAAATTATTTCTTTTTTTTTTTAACTTTTATTTAATGAATATAGATTTCCAAAGTACAGCTTATGGATTACAATGGCTCCCCCCCCATAACGTCCCTCCCACCCGCAACCCTCCCCTTTCCCACTCCTTCTCCCCTTCCATTCACATCAAGATTCATTTTCGTTTCTCTTTATATACAGAAGATCAGTTTAGCATACATTAAGTAAAGATTTCAACAGTTTGCTCCCACACAGAAACATGAAGTGAAAAATACTGTTTGAGTACTAGTTATAGCATTAAATCTCAATGTACAGCACACTAAGGACAGAGATCCTACATGAGGAGTAAGTGCACAGTGACTCCTGTTGTGGACTTAACAAATTGACACTCTTGTTTATGGCATCAGTAATCAACCTAGGCTCTTGTCATGAGCTGCCAAGGCTATGGAAGCCCCCTGAGTTCACTGACTCTGATAATTTTAGACAAGGCCATGGTCAAAGTGGAAGTTCTCTCCTCCCTTCAGAGAAAGGTACCTCCTTCTTTGATGACCCGTTCTTTCCACTGGGATCTCACTCATGGAGATCTTTCATTTAGGTTTTTTTTTTCCCCCCCCCCCCAGAGTGTCTTAGCTTTCCATGCCTGAAATACTCTCATGGGCTTTTCAGCCGGATCCACATGCCTTAAGGGCTGATTCTGAGGCCAGAGTGCTGTTTAGGACATCTGCCATTCTATGGGTCCAACACTTCCCATGTTGGATCGTTCTCTCCCTTTTTGATTGTATCAGCTAGTATTTGCAGACACTAGTCTTCTTTATGTTATCCCTTTGGTTCTTAGTCCTATCATTATGATCAATTGTGAACAGAAATTGATCACTGGGACTAGTGAGATGGCATTGGTACATGCCACCTTGATGGGATTGAATTGGAATCCCCTGGTATGTTTCTAACTCTACCGTTTGAGGTAAGTCAGCTTGAGCATGTCCGAATTGCACATCTCTTCCCTCTCCTTTTCCCAGTCTTATATTTAACAGGGATCACTTTTCAGTTAAGTTTCAGCACTTAAGAAGAATTGTGTATTGATTACAGTATTCAACCAAAAGTATTAAGTAGAACAAACAAAAAAAATACTAAGAGGGATAACATATCAAGTTGCTCATCAACAGTCAGGGTGAGGGCTGATCAAGTCACCGTTTCTCATAGTGTTCATTTCACTTTAACAGGTTTCCTTTTTGGTGCTCAGTTAGTTGTCACCTATCAAGGAGAACAAGTGGTATTTGTCCCTTTGGGATTGGCTTATTTCACTCAGCATAATGTTTTCCAAATTCCTAACAGGGATCACTTTTCAGTTAAAATTTAAACACCTAAGAATAATTGTGTGTTAATTACAGAGTTCAACCAATGGTACTAGAACAAAAAAAATACTAAAATGGATAAAGTATTACATTGTACATTAATCAGCTCTTGTCCTGATAGTAAATTATTTCTGTCTATACTTCTGGATAGGCACTTATGCCTTCTTAACTTTTTGTTTTTTTCTTTGTAGAACAAACCAAAACTCTGATGTTTTTTGAAGGCTGTCCACAACACTTGGGCTGTACAATCAAGCTTAGAGGAGGCTCTGATTATGAGTTGGCTCGAGTTAAGGAGATCCTAATATTTATGGTCTGTGTAGCTTATCATTCTCAGCTTGAGATCTCCTTCCTCATGGATGAATTTGCTATGCCTCCTACATTGACGCAAAACTCTTCATTCCATTCTCTGATCGAGGGACGGGGGGACGAGGAAACTGCACAGCAGCAGCACAGTGGAAGTTCCCTCCCCCAGGATCTTGACTTCCCTCCTGAGCCTCTGCCCTCCGATGAGAGCAATTTGCTGGAATCAAGGATTGTGTTTGAGAAGGGTGAGCAGGAAAATAAAGGTGTTCCACAGGCTGTTGCCTCTTTGAAGCATCAAGAGTATGGCGCAACAGCTTGCCCAGCTGGAATCCCCTGTGCTCTCTTCCAATCCGTACCGGAATCACTGTTGCCGCTTCACGTGGGTGACCCACAGGATGTGGTAGACAGTGAGCAGCTGGGGACATTGCAGCAAACGGATGAGCTACAGGATCCCAAAAGCCAAATGAGAACATTTAGAGACCCTCTACAGGATGACACTGGATTATATGTTACTGAGGAAGTTACCTCCTCTGAAGATAAACGAAAGACTTACTCTTTGGCCTTTAAACAGGAATTAAAAGACGTGATCCTCTGTATCTCCCCAGTAATCACATTCCGTGAACCCTTCCTTTTAACTGAAAAGGGGATGAAGTGTTCTACCCGCGATTATTTTGCAGAGCAGATCTACTGGTCTCCTCTCCTCAATAAAGAGTTCAGAGAAATGGAGAGCAGGAGGAAGAAGCAGCTGCTCAGGGACCTCTCTGGGCTTCAGGGCATGAATGGAAGTATTCAGACAAAGTCTATTCAAGTTTTACCTTCACATGAGCTAGTGAGCACTAGAATTGCTGAGCATCTGGGTGATAGTCAGAGCTTAGGTAGGATGCTGGCCGATTATCGAGCCCGAGGAGGAAGAATTCAGCAAAAAAACTCTGACCCTTTCGCTCATTCCAAGGATGCATCAGGTATTTCCAGTGGCAAATCAGGAAGCAAAGCCGAGAGTGATGAAGAGAGAGGATTGACCCCAAGTGATGCAGTATGGTCAACAAAGGTGAGGCACACCGCTTCTGAATGCTCAAGTAAATTTAGAATGGGTTGAAAACTGTGTTATGGCAGAATAAAAAATATGGCAAATTACATCCATATTTATACATTTCTTCTATGCTTTTTTCTTGGTTTTGAGTCTCCCAAATCATGTGTTGGTTTAATAGGTGTGAAGGAGGACTGTAAAGTTGTGAAACTGGATTTTGGAATTTTTACATAAACTCACAGTAAACTAGGAATAGCCCTAATCTAAGAGGAAACATAAAGCTACTTAAAAATTTCTGTCAGTATGACTTGGATGTGCTCTGATGCATCCTCCATCCTTTGGTTGGTAGTGACAGGGAGAATAAGAGATGGGAGCTTATTATAGAAAAAGAGATGTGTTTTGTAAAATGTTAATGTTAGATTTATTTGTATAACAGAAAATGTTTTATACTGTTTTAACTGTGACAATTGGCTTTTTTCTTCTCTCATTTTTCAAAGATTTTTTAATTTATTTATTTGAAAGTCAAAGTTACAGAGAGGGAGGGAGATACAGAGATCTTCTATCTGCTGGTTCACTCCCAAGATGATGTCCATGGCCAGGGCTGGGCCAGGATGAATTCAGGAGCCAGGAGCTTCATCTGGGTCTCCCATGTGGGTGGCAGGGCCCAAACACTTGGGCCATCTTCCACTGGTTTTCCCAGGCCATTAGCAGAGAACTGGATTAGAAGTGGAACAGCTGGAATTCCAACTGGTACCCATATGGGATGCCAGTGGTATAGGCAGAGGCTTTACCCACTATGTAACAATGCTAGCCCTTGGCTGGCGCTGCGGCTCAATAGGCTAATTCTCCGCCTGCGGCGCTGGTACCCTGGGTTCTAGTCCCGGTTGGGGCGCTGGATTCTGTCCCGGTTGCTCCTCTTCCAGTCCAGCTCTCTGCTGTGGCCCGGGAGTGCAGTGGAGGATGGCTCAAGTCCTTGGGCCCTGCACCCACATGGGAGACCAGGAGAAGCACCTGGCTCCTGGCTTCGGATCAGCGCGGTACGCTGGCCACAGCGGGCTTGCTGCGGCGGCCATTGGAGAGAGAACGAACTGTCAAGGAAGACCTCTCTCTCTGTCTCTCTCTCCCACTGTCCACTCTGCCTGTCACAAATAACAAAAATTAGATAAATAGACTAAATTAAATCATAGTAAAAATGAACCATAATGAAGAAGGGGATAGGAGGAGGAGAGAGAGGGATGGATGGGAGTCTGGCTGGGAGGATAGGTATGGGAGAAAGAATCACTATATATCCTGGAGTTGTACCTATGGAACATACGTTCATTAAATGACACGGTGACAAAATTCACTTCTCCTATGTCAACTTTACGCACTATTATATGTACATATTTGCTCTATGATCACTCGCATTTATCTCACTCCTTCCTCAAGTATGCTCATTGACCTTCACCTACAAATCAATACAAACTTTTATATGTACTACACACGTTTAAATAGTT